AGATTAAGGCTACTCATAAGATCCAACAGAACATAACATTTTTTGATCTGGTTTTGTGGAACTTACATTTTTAAGTTACCGGTATATGAAAAAACGGGTTATAGCAGTCAAAAGCAAGTTCAACAAGTTCCACGGTTCATTCATCACAAGAGAGAATATCAGTAAAAGGTTTTACTTCTCTTGGTAGCGATATTGTCCAGTAAATGTAAGGTTAAATTATATAGTTTGAATATTTAAAGTCCTTTCTCGTTATTAATGAAATTGCTAGTTTGTGCATACAGCCGCCTCTCATTTAGCAGGGGAAAACAGTCGAATTTCCACTAAGATGGTTTCAACGCAAAATGAAGCATGAGAAACGAGTTCAGAAATTCGTCCATAGTGATGACCCGTCACTACCCAGATCTGGGTAGTGCTTTTGATTGGCTGAACATTTATTTCAACCAGTCAGTTCAAAATTGCTTCAACCAAGATCTAGGTAGCGACGCGTCATCACTATCAGTGGAATTTCTGCGCCCGTTCCTCAGGTAAAATAGGGATAAAATGGGGTCCAATTAGCCACGGAATAACAGGGGCACCCAACGAGAATATAGTTCAAAACCACCTAAAAATAGCATTGTTCGACACTATCTAAATGAAGAAGTCGTTTGCACATTTTCTCACTAAACTTTCTTCACGACGAACGCATAAAATGTTCAACTCTTTTTAACGACGACTAAACTGTTTGGCCGCTTTTAAAACGGATAGCTGTGAACTCCATTGAAAATCTTATCGCTGTTTATTGTCGTTGTTGTTAACTTTTCGAACCAAAATTAACGGTCTTCGAGCAAGAATCGGGAAAAGCCAAGACTCTCACCTAGCCGGAGGGGTGCAACAACCGGAGAGTCTTTCAAGACCTTCAAGGCTCGCTCGCGCGTGATCTCCTTCTCGGTTCGCCCTCGATGTCCAAGCAGACTGTCGTTCTCGCAAAAATTTGCATCTCAAAAAACTGTTCAGGTTAAATCGTACGAAATGAACTACTCTGAATCCAGCAAATGTACCTGATTGTCTCTCTGTCGAACAGTACAAGCGATAATTTTTCCAGATAGTCCTGGGTGAAACGGTACTGCTTGATTACACTGATTTTTGCATGAATTGATGCAACGAAGCGCAAAATGTTTTAAAATATTACACATTAGAGCGCCAAATGTTAGGTCTTTCTGCAGGTACCGTCATCACAAAAGAAACAATGGAACCAAACAATAGAGTTCTCCTGAAAGGCTTTATTGTTTGGTTGTATTGTTTCTTTTGTTATACGTTATCTGTGCCTCGGTACCAAAGAAAACAAAACCCTGAACCGGATCCTGGTCATAGTAGTAAAATGACGCCATCATGCAAATGGCCCCTTTGGGTCGTATTCGTTCCCCGCGTTAAAGAGACCTCTTAGATTTGAAGACGAGGACGACTGCGAGTACGAGATTTGACTTCAACAGTGTTCAAGTTTTTTCGCGTATTCTCAAAATATAGACTTCCCGGAAAGCTTCATTTTACCATAAAAGTTAGCACTGTTATCTACAGTGAAGGAGATTACGCGCTTTCCCGATCAATGACGACGGCTACCACATTTTCCCGCCAAAATGTCGCTGGCTCACGCGCGAGCACTACGTACTATAGAGAAAATCTCGTACTCGTACTCGTCTTAGAATCTAAAGGTCTGTAGTGATCGAGAATTCATATTTAGCACCTAGGCTCTAGGTTAGCATGCGTGCTTTTTAATGATTTTTGTTGGTGAATGTCTACTTCGAAATTTGAATTTAAATTGATTAATGTAAATAATTCTGGCGGGAATTTTAATTGAGGCTTAGTATCATGCCGAAAGCACACAAAAGAGTAATGAATTAAGGTATAAAATAAATCTATTACTGAAGTGGATCACCTGTTGAAGTTCTGACTTCCAGTGAGTGGTTTACGAACATGAGAATACAATTATATTTTTGTGGAGTCTGTTCTAACACGTCAAGTTAACACACAGCCTGCTTGCTACCCATGAAAACAGGTACGTTACCCCAAAAGAGCGCTAAAATTATTATTCGCTTGTAATATTTGCCTTACCTAGCTATGACCGATGGTTTAAGATGCCACTTATCTTCATTCCTTTATGTATTGGAATCTTTGCGGAAAGAACAGGTTATAAGCTGTTCGGCTCGTTTTCTGGGGTTTTTACGAAAAAAGCCTTCCCTGTAAATAAAGTATCTCCAAACTAAATTTAACCCTGTCAATTTTAAGTCACAGAGCAGTTACTGGACACACTGAGCCAAGCCAAAGTTTTTCGAATACAATATTTTGATAATATTCTGTCAACATAAATACAAATTGCGAAAGGAAGGCAAACTTTTTATCAAAACGGAGTGAAGTATTCATACTATATCGATATATAAAGAAATACATAATTGACATACGCATACTGGCAAGGTGCAAAAGTAAACAAAGGGAATGTCTTACAACAATGGCTTATGGTTTCGCAAATGGAAATATTTAATGTATAGTGAAGGTAAACGCGTGGCGTGTAGAGTCTGGACACAGGTAGTCACCGAAACGACGTTGAGATTCACAGCAACAACAACAACAAGGCAGTAAATCACCTTTGGAAACACGAAAAAACCTTCACTTTATTTGAGTCTTAGGCCCGGTTCAGACGCCGAACTTTTCATGAGCCGAACCGTAATACATTAAATTATTAAGCACATGAAAAGTTCGGCGTCTGAATCAATTAGGAACGCCTGTTTCAATTTGGATCGGCTCAACCGTTCTTTTCGCCTAGCCTGGCCGGAAATTTCGCCTTTGGAGCGACTTTGGAACGGCTTTGATTCAGACGCCGAACTTTTCATGTACCTAACCTAATGCATAAATTATTATAACGCATTTTCTAAGCAGTTTGACCGCAATGGTTATTTTTCTCCCTCTGAATTTAGTTCGCCTGAAATTAAGATCGGCGTCTAAATCAATTTAGCCGGTCCAAATAATTTGGGTCGGTCTTTAAATTTGAATTAGGTTCGGCTCATGAAAAGTACGGCGTCTGAACCGTGCCTTAATGTATTCAGCACGAAAGTACTACTTCAAGACTCTGGTTGTTTAGCTTTTACATACTGGGCAAACAGGTTGGTTCACGGTTTGGGCAAATGGTGAGCAAAATTCAGGAAAGGTGAATTTCGTCGCGAACTCGAGTTTACCATTTGTACAAATCAGTTTCATTTACCGAAAAACGGCTGCGAAGGCGTGAAACTGGTATCAAAGATGGCTTTGAAGTAAATGGAACACGAATTTCCGTTTGGAACATTCTGTCCTGAAAAACAGGACTGCCTTTTCAGAAGTTCCGTTGCTCCCGGAAAATTTCTACTCGAATGACCCAAACGGTCTTGTTCCCTTTATTTTGCAACCAGATTTTCTGGAATTTTTTTTGTAAATGGTAAACAACCATTTCTCATTTCTTTTGGGGACGAGATCCTCCATGGTCATCCGAGCCGCGCGAAGGTCTAGCCATTTGCAGGGCAAAAGCACTCACTTAGGGCGCTTTCCATTTGTCAGAACTGACCGGCAAGACCATTCCCGTCGCAATGGGAATTTCCCTTTTAATCAAAACTCTCCAGCCAGATCTGTCAAATCCTAAATAGTATGCACCAAAGAGATGATTTTTCAGCAAAAAAACTTGGAAAAAGTCTATTTCATTTTCAAACTGACTTGTCGGGCTATGGTCCGGCCAGCCAGTTCTGATAAATGGAAAGCGCCCTTAATTTCTCAGTTATTTCAAGACCCTGATTATTATCGGTCCGGCCCCGAAAATCGAACCCGCGATCTCCCACTTTTCAGTTACGTACTCTAACTGACTAAGCTTAGTCGTCCCTTCGGTCTTTTCTTGGAACAAGACAGAAGTTTATGATAGTTGACAGTAGAGCATTTTGACGAAAGGAAGTTGGTCAGAAGCGATTGTCAAAAAACTTAACGATTTATATGGCCCACACGGGAAACGGAAAAACGTAAAGAAACAAATCGCCTTATCTTAAACTTATTGCATAGAAAAGGAACAAAGTAAACTAACTTATGCAATATTTTGTGTTTTTGATGTCTTTTTCAAGCGACCTTGGCTGATTTTGCGATCAGAAGAGGATTTTCTTTTATCAAGACAGGATCGTAACACAGAGAGCCGAGATTTCGCCGCTCTCTCAGGTCAGACCCGAGAAGAGACTTTTCCGAGGAGGAGCGCGGGCTCGCTTCCCGAACAGCGGCTGGTAATCGAGCCTAAAAACCGACCGCTTCAAAAAGAAAAAGAGAAAATATGACACAAATTAGTTTCCTTTATTCCTTTTCTTCATAATAAGCTAGGATAAGCCAGTAAGACTGATTTTGTATTAAATTTTAACGTTTCCCATAAGACCATGACCAGTTGCGTTACGCCGAACGTTATTAGATGTAGTGAGTTTGGGGACGCTCGTGATGTTGATAAGTCGTCGTGTGGCGCAGTATAACTTAATCAAGGGCAAGAGAAACAGGGCTGCACTTCTTATAACTTTTCTAATTTAGATCATTTGAGGCTATGCCTGCACAAGTCCGCTAAAACGTATAAACACATAGTACAAACTGTTGCGTTTACGCATTCCGTCCACTAACGATGGAACGCAATAATCAGGACGAGAGCTCGTAGTGAAACTGTAATGACATTTCTGTTAGAAATCATGCATTGGGCGCGCAACCTACAGATTAGTCATCTGCTAACAGATAACTAACTAATCTGTAGGTTAGGCTGATCTCCAAAATTAGCTGTTGGCTGTTAGCCAATGAGATGACAGATAGTCAGTACATTATATAATAAAAACAGTTATGCGGACGTTAGTAGACACAGTAAACCGTTTTGCTTGGTCAGTAACCAACGGAAGCTCTAACCTCCGGGTTGTCGGGCTTATTATTATTATTATTATTTTGTAGATGTTTTTGTTGTTGTGTTTTTTAAGGTCAGTCAGTGTTGAAACATGACAAGAGACGGATACAAGAAGGTTCCTGATGAAGATCACACAGAGAAAGTCAGCTGTCTATCATTCATGTTCTTTCATTGGATGAACAATGTGCTCAAGACAGGCAATGAACGACCAATAGAGCAAAGTGACTTTTTGCCTCTTTCGGAAGAAAACACGTCCTCTTTTCTAATTGAACACCTTCAGAAAGAATGGAACAAGGAAAAAGCCAAGTGCAAGGGAAAGACAAAACGACCAAAACTTTGGAAAAGCGTTCTAAAACTGCTTCCTCTCAAAGAAGTGCTGATTCTAACCGTGAACTACGCTTTGTATTCTCTGTCACGCCTCCTGCAGCCATTGCTTCTAGGATTTTTTATGGTATCTCTGATGTCACCAGAATTACACTCGGTGTATCTTTTGTATGGTTGTGCTTTAGGCATGGGTATCAATGCTTTGATTGGTTCGCTTGCCATGCACCACTTTGACTACAGAGGTGAAGTGTGGGGACTTCGATTTAGCAGCGCCCTCAAAGGATTAATTTACCTCAAGGTAAGGATATGACAGTCATTCCCGCCCTTCCCATCTTCTAAGGAAAAAAGCCCTGGGAACGAGGTTGGATTTTTTCCCTACAACGACCTCCACAAGAATAAACCTTTCCTTTAATTTGAATACTTCAGCAGCGACCTTAGCCGCAAGAAACCAAACTTTATTCAGTCACCTCCTAATGATACGTATAAACAGAACATAAAATCCTTTATGTACGTATATAACTATAGATGTCTAAACTGAAAATTTCTTATTATCCACTTCCCTAAGGACTCTTTAGAGTTATTAATCACATTTGTTTGGGGGACTTTTTGCCAGTCTACTAACGATCAATGAAGTAGTAAGTTATGAATACCACCCCCCCCAAATATGAATCTGAATTTGACATCGACAACGGCACCCACCAGGGATTCCGTCCCCGGATATATGTTACTAAAACGGAGAACTGGGAGACTGGAACTAGCACGGGGAACAGGAAAATGAAAAAATGGAAACAAAGTAGAGAGCTGGAAATGAACTTAGTGATAGGGCTGAAGTTCCAGTTAGGTTTTTTTCTCATCCTTCATTTTTGCCGTTTCGCGTGCTTGTTCCCCGCTCCTTGTTTATTCACATCCCTCTGTCCCCTGCTATTAAAGAAGAGTGTGAAGGTTTTTAGCGCCTGGGGGAGAGCCCAATCTTATTTGGCCTTGGCAGGTACGTGCCGCTAAAGAGAGTTAGTGTTTTAAAGAGGGTGTCGTTTCTGGCCCCGAAGCTTTTAAAAGAGGGGGAATTGGGTTGGCGATGAGCGGTCTATATTTGTGGCACCGACAACAAAAATCTAATTCTATGATCGCAGTTTTTTAAACCTAATTCTGTACGCGAAATGAGCCAGTGTCATTTTATGAGCTCTCTTGTCTTTAACAGGGAAGCGAAAGACGATTTTTGTGCTAAAAAGGGTCATTGTTTGAAGTCCTCGGCGACACTGGTACCCAAAACTCCCTTGAGCGCCGCCCCAGGCTTTTACATTCCACAAAATCTTTTTATGAGCAAAGGTGGTGAGGAACCTATCGTTTATGGCTTAACCGAGAAGACTGGTAACTCGAACCGTTTGCAGACAACAAAGGCAGCACTTTCTCCTCAGGCATTTTAAAGCCCCGAGCGTTGATCCGGCTGAGTTGTGAACATGCGACCTCCCTGTTCAGCGGACTTCTATTCTTTTTCATTGGAATTTTAAGACAAATTTTTCACGCGCAGGGCTCCTGTCACGCGTCAGTGTTTAATTGCTAATCTTTTCGACCTTTTATAACAATCAGCTAACGTCTGGTAGTTTATTTCTTTTTCAGACACTCGTTCTCACGAAGAGTGCCTTGCTAAAGTTTTCAACTGGGCACGTGATCGATCTCATATCAAACGATGTGCAACGATTAGAAGAGGAGGCTTTCAAGTTACTATTCTCAATAGTTTTTACATTATTCGAGGTCGCCGTAGTCACAATCTGGCTGGTGTACTTTATCGGCTGGCAGTCATTAATGGGCGTTATTTTCCTGGCTTGTCTTTCTCCATATTACGCTCTGATGTCCGCCGCTGGCTCTAAGTTGCGCCTGCGCACAGCCGGGGTTTCTGACCAGAGGCTCTCGTGGATGAACCAGGTAGTTTCTGGGATTCGCGCCATCAAAACAAATGCATGGGAGAAGGAATACCGAGAGAGCATTAAAAGTACACGAAGGTAGGAAAAACACAATAGACCTTTAAACTTGTAAATTTGTTTTTTTCAAGTCAGACCAGGTAATGCTCTTAAGGGAATTTGCCGTGTCTCTTCATAAATCATGCACAAATATGCATGGTTATCTCCTACACAAAAGTACGTGGCTTTTGTACTAAAAGACAACGTACTTAAGAAACAATGAGTTCCTAATTAGACCTTTCTATGCTACGCAAAATCTATGTATATAACATAAAGAATGAAGTAGCCTCAGAACTGACAGCAGACATTTCGTGCGCGAGCCCACCACTGGTTTTCCCGCGAAGAAATGAAATCTGAGGAACGAGCGCAGAAATTCCATACTGATGACGTGTCACTACCCAGATCTGGGTAGTGTCTGATTGGTTGAAGCAAGATTTCCCACGCGGCGCGACAAATCAGAAACACTATCCATACTTAGGGTCAATTTCATAGAACTATTACAAGTGTAATTTACAAGTGTGGCTATTGCTCTCATTCTCTAAAACAATAGCCATACTTGTCAATTACACTTGTAAAAGTTTTATTAAACTGGCTCCAGGATAGTGAAAAGTCATTAGTAGAGAATTTATGCGCTTGTTTCTAAGACGTTATTTCGTGTGAAAACCACTAGTGGTATCGCGAAGTGTCAGCAGTTTTCTCAGGCTAACAATGACGCGCATCTTTTAATATCATTAATTCTTTTAATATTTTCTTTTCAGCCGTGAGATAAGTATTATCCGAAAGAAGAGCATCATTTTGACAAGCCTTGCTGCCTTGGACATGGCTTCAGGGCCAATAGCTGCACTTGTGTCTGTTATCGCAATGGCATTAACTGGGAAACACCTGACACCAGTTAATGTTTTCATGCTTATCTCTTTCATCTATGTATCAAGAGTCACCTGTTCAATTTTATTGGCCAGTGGTTTGCAAGACACATATGACGCATATGTTTCACTCAACAGAATAGAATATTTTCTTCTGTTACAAGACCCACCCAGGGGCACTGCTCCAGCTCTTCAGTTCGCGGATCCCACAAGAAACATGGAGGGGACCGCAGCGATGTTGAAGGGTTCTTTATGGCAGCGCAAGGAAGAAATGAGAGAAAACGAAGAAGATGGCATTGCTGAACATCAAACCCGTGACACGATGGATACTTTGATTGTTTCAAGATTAAGTTATGAACAGTCAAAGCGAAAAGATGAATTTATTCTACAAGATATCGAATTTAAGGCAGCTTCAGGGACCTTAACAGTCATTACCGGGCCAGTAGGTAGCGGAAAGTCTACCCTTCTCTCAGCAATCGCTGGCGAGGTACCAGACAAACAGGGGAACGTAATCTGCAGAGGGGCTCTTGTTTACGCACCTCAGATAGCTTGGGTATTCTCGGGAACAATTAGAGAAAACGTTTTGTTTGGCGAACCATACAATGAATCCAAGTACAAAAGAGTCATTGAAGCTTGTGCGCTGAGAGAAGACATTCATCAGTTTTCCGATTGTGACGAAACAATGGTTGGAGAACGCGGTGAATTGTTGAGTGGGGGTCAGCGGGCCAGAGTAAGCTTGGCACGCGCAGTCTATGCTGATGTGGACCTTTACTTGTTCGATGACCCCTTAAGCGCCGTAGATGTCAAGGTTGGTCAACATATTTTTGAAAAATGCTTCAAAGACCTGCTGGGTCAAAAAACCCGTGTGATTGCTTCCCACCAAGAGCAGCTTATGGAAGAGGCTGATAATATCATTATGTTGTATAAAGGATGCGTGTTGGGTGAAGGAAGCTTTAATGAGCTGAAGAAAAGAGGAATTCTGAATGAAACTATTGACCCACTTTATGCCATGAAAGTAAGCAGTGGCAAGTCAGATCACCACCTTGATGAACGTAATAATGAGGACGATGGTGCATCCGACAAACCTTTCCCACCTCAGGTCAAAAACGAGGCAAAGGGTCTACAGATATCGGAAGAAGATCGCATGATCGGAGTCGTGTCATCCAAGCTTTACTGGAATTACTTCAGAAGCGGGTTGAATTCACTGGCGATAATTTCATTATTCCTACTTGTTCTCATTTCACAAGGTAAGCGACAGTTTTACAGGTTTAGAGAACGGATTGTATCATCGGAAAAGCCCCGACGCGTTATATATTTTCATCAATATAATGATGAGTTAAATACAACCCTACTGGAAACTACGCTCTCCTGGAGAGACGACGGGAAGAGAGACCTGCGCTACTAAGTTGCAATATACGCTTTCGCGAGAGCACTGTACGCATGCGTACATTATCACCCCTTACATTATCCGCTGACGCCCCCTAAGAATATCCAGTTTGCATAACCGAGTCTTTCAAACGCAGCTTGTAAACTGCGTTTCATCCGCCCCGACTCTCTTAAAAAATATCAATAGCAATAACAGTAACTATCATAACAATAATGATAATGATAATAATAAAATACTGATAGTAATAGTAGTAATAATAATAACAATAATAATAATAAGGAAGAAGAAGGAAATTAAAAAGAATTTTCCCTTCCAAATCATGGAAGGAAAATGATGATGGGAAAACGGAAAATCAGGCGTCAGGTTAACTGATGAATATGAAAGTCAGTTATAAAATGAAAAGTCCATCCACTGAAATCACACAAACTCTTACGTAGCGCCGAGATAATTGTTGTTTTACTTATCAAACCTTTTTGCTTTTCTAACTTGACGTTATCGTTGCCGTCGCCGTCGCCGTCGCAGTTGTTTTAAACTGTTTTTGTCTCACTCTTTTCACAGCATTGCTAGTTTCTCCTGATGTATGGCTGTCTATTTTGACACAGAAAAGTCCAGACGATCAGCGTAACAAGACGAATTTAACCATCTACGGTTGTCTGGTCACCGCAGCCTTCATATTTGCCATCATCCGAGCGCAGGTATTCCACCTGGCTTCACTGAGATGCTCAGAACGTCTTCACGACAAAATGGTTGTGGCTGTTCTACAAGCCCCGGTGCTCTTCTTTGACTCCAATCCCGTGGGGAGAATCATGAATCGTTTCTCTAGAGATATAGGTTGTTTGGACGAATTACTGCCTAAAACGTTTCTGCTCTCCATTCAGTATGCTTTGATGATGTCGACAGCAATTCTTGTGCCAGCTGCCACGAATCCTTGGCTTCTACTGGTTTTCGTACCCGCCACTTTCCTAGCTGTCTACATTACCAGCTACTACTTGAAGACATCTAGGGAACTGAAAAGACTGGAATCCATTTGTCGCAGTCCGGTTTTCTCTCACGTTTCAGAGACCCTGAATGGACTGGACACGATTCGGACAAGGAAAAGACAAGATGACTTTGTGGATCGGTTTCATGGGTGTGTTGAAATCTTTTTTTATTTTTTCATTTTTGCATGATATAGTGATTACAGACAAACACCTCGGGAAAACGGACACCTATAGAGTTGATCTATGCCGCTCTTTACTCCCAGGGTTTGTGACATCACTCTGAGACGGACCCAACGGTGTCCGTCTTCGGAGAGTCACGGCTATCCCAGAAAATATCACTTCTTTCTACTCTCAAGCGCGATTACTCAAATGGTTTGATGGTTAGGTTGCGTTTTTCGAGTTTATAATGAGACACGTTAAATTGAACCAAAATCCTTATTTGACAGACAAGAAACTCTCAGCAGATGATTCTTCAACTTACTATGGCATACACACACTCAGTGATATTGGCTGTTTTAAGCAATCTGACTGGTTCGCTAACTAGGAAAATTGAGCATCATTCACTACCTAGCGAGTGAAAAATGCATGATCTTCAAAACAGAAAAAAAAGGAATTGAATGAAAGAAGATTAGAAACAAGTTAAGAAGCTTTTAACCGTTTTATGATGACGTTAAGATAAATAAGTGTGTTCTACTTTTCAAGGCATTGCAAGGCGAATCGCACATGTATATCAATTGACTATTTTCGAATTCCCCATAATACACTCTGTCTGCCCCCCAAATTTTGCATAACTTATTGTCTTAAAATGCTCTTGGGAAAATACAATACTCCCAGGAGCATTTAAAAACAATGGTTTATGCAGAATTTGGGGGGCAAACAGAGTGTATTATGGGGAATTCGAAAATAGAGAATGATCTCTCCCGTACAAGCCTGAAAATTTTTTTCAGGCTTTCTTTCGCAACTGCAAAAGTTGCGTATATAACCACTATGATCATCCTTCATTTAATTCTTCACTCCACATTTCAAATATATGATTTTCATATATTCAAAACTTGATCTGTTAACTGTTACGAACAAATCAGTGCACGGTAGAAAGACGAGACATGGCCAATATAACTTCGTATGCCCAAAGTTTCGACACATCACCGAAGCGGGAAGGTCTTTTAGCGTCAGTAGCATACGGTTGTGGAACAGTCTGCCTGATGATATTAAAAGGAAAAACAGTCTTTCATCTTTTAAGAATGCTTTGATAGCTTATTTTAGAGATTCTTATATTGATATTGATAATTTTGAAGCCTTATCTTTGCATTGTTAGGTTAGTTAATTTAGTTGAAGGCCAATAGCTTATCAGCTTCTGCTGTTATGTGTTAACTTATTTTACTGATTCTTATATTGATATTAAAAATTTTTAAGCACTATTGTAAATATATATCTGTAATTTTTAGGTTAGTTAGTTTAGTTGGAGGGTCACTGGTTTATCAACTTCTGCTGTTATGTGTTTACCCTCATTTTAAAATAAAGTTGATTGTTATTAGACTTTAACATGAATAAAAACAACAGGCCAACCAACCTCTGATGAGGAAGTAATTTTGCGAAATAATTTCCCTACCGTCGGCTAGAAACGGGCAAATTAGAAATCATGTTGCATTCTCATGAAGAAACCAAGAATTTCTTTGGGAATATAATAAAATTTCTTTCGTTTTACTTCCTCAGGTATCAAGATGTATACAGTCAGGTATATATTATGGTGAAGGCGAGTGCTCGGTGGCTTGGTCTTCATATGGATCTTCTCTCTGCTATATTAATTGGCACAGTGGCAGTAGCTGCCGCTTTGGTTTCTCAAGATGCTGGTACGTGAACCAATATCCAGTCATAACATTGTTTCAACATTGTGAAAGAGAACTTTAAGTTAAATACACTTTTTCGCGTTCTTATATACAGAGGAATCTCGATTTTTCGAACCACCTCTGGAATAGCGTTGAAATTGGTTTAATTGGGCCTTGTCCGGTCCACATAAAATCAATTTGAGCCTTGCTCCGCTACTCCCTTGAATACCGAAAAACCCAAACTTAAGAGAAATGAAAGGTTTTTCTCTTTTGGCTCATTATAAAGCTGAATTTTGCAAAACGGAAACAAAATCGAAATTATTTTTAACCAAATTGAACCATTTTCAACAATCACAAGGCCAAGTAAACAAAAACAAAACAAATGTTTCTCTTCCCGCCCACTTCATTTTTTGGGTCCGCCTCTCTTTTTTATTATTTGTTTATGCCAAAAGAGGAGATACAAGCCAAAGAAAAAAACCAAGAAACTTTCAGGCAGGCTAAATGACAAAGCCAAGCATTCATTACACACTGCGTCCTATTCACGTTTTTAATGCAACCTACATTACGAGATATAAGGTACGACACATCACGTTGCTGTTTAAAACTTGTACCCTATAAACCAAATTTGTGTTTTAGCAATATCTGACGTTTCATTCAATCCCGACATTAATATTTGTCCGAAGAACTCCATCTTATCCCTGGGAGAAGGCAATAATAATTTGTAAAGAAAGCATTAAATTTAAAAGTAAATAAAAGTCAGAAATAACAAAAAAGATCCCGCCTGCTCTCTTTTTCGAAGTAAGCCGGACGAGAAACAGTTGCCGCTTTTTTTTTTCGCTTGGCCTAACAAGAACAAAAACAACTATTAATAGTAGCAGTATTTAGTACGGTTTTTATTACCAAAAGCGGTAGGATGCAAAATTAATAAGGTCAGCTGTAACAAAAACTTATAAACACGTTAAATATTCTTTTTCTTTTCCAATTAGCATTTGCTGGTCTAGCCCTTGTTTACGTTATTCAAACTTCAGTTGTCACACAATACGCCGTCAGGAAAGCCTCAGAAGTCGAAAATTTAATGACATCAGTTGAACGAGTTATCACGTATACCAAACTTGAGTCTGAGCCTGGATACAAAGTGAAACGACTTCCCCCGGAAAATTGGCCAAGTGAAGGAAATATCACATTCCATGACGTATCACTGACGTATTATCCGGGAGGTCCTCAAGTACTGAGGAAAATAAACCTCACAATCAAAGGAAGAGAAAAGATTGGTATCGCTGGTCGAACGGGCGCAGGAAAATCTTCATTTGTCGCTTCTCTAATGCGCATGCCCGAAGCCGATGGAGTGATAACGGTCGATGAAGTTCGAATAAAGGACATAAACCTCTACGAAACACGACGCTCAATATCAATTCTAGGCCAAAGTCCTGTTATTTTTAGTGGATCACTCAGAAAAAACCTTGATCTTATGGAGCAGTTTCAAGACGCAGAATTGTGGTGCGCTCTAGAAGATGTACAGCTGAAAGATTTAGTGGAAAGCCTGGAGGGGCAGCTGAATCATGAGTTATTGGAGTACGGGGGAAATGTCAGTGTAGGAGAACGCCAACTGATCTGTTTGGCTCGATTGTTGCTACAGCAGAACAAGATCATTATCTTGGATGAGCCAACTGCACACGTTGATCCAGACACAGAACAAACCATTTGGAAGGTGGTTCATGAGAAGCTGAAGGACTCCACAATCATCACTATAGCTCATCGTTTAAACACGATAAGAGACTGTGACAGGATCCTGGTATTAAAGGACGGACAAGTTAAGGAATTTGACAGGTTCGATAGGTTATTGAACACCAAAGGAAGTGTCCTGCGAGAAATGATTGAAAAGCTAGGAGTGTGATTTGTATTTTTACCATTAGGTATCATCAGTGCGCATGTTAGTAATGCGGAAAATATTGGATTAAGAAACCACGGGAACGGGAGATAACCCGGTTAATTTTTTTAGTGCGATCGCAGCCAATATTGTAAAACAATAGACAGCGGGTTTTCTAATACGTAGCTGTTTTATAGCCAGATATTTGGCACAAATAAGAAACTCCGAAATTTTTACCTGAATGGCTCAGGCTTTCAGATAGAACTTAGACGCGCGTATGATATGATGAAGAGCTTCGATTTTGTCCTGGATTGATTGTCGAGGCCGTTTGCTAATAACGCAAGGGTGAAAGGAAACCTGGACGCGTGTTTCTCCGAAGGGGAAAAAATCAACATCCAAAAGTACCGTTTCTTTCTTTTTACAAAAACAGTTTTCATCAGCGCATAGTTGAAATACACATTGTTACTTAATTACGTAATGTGATTTATCAATCTGTACTATTGGAAAAAGTGTTATTTATTACAAAATCCAGTCATCGACTTTAAAGTTCATTCTATCTCTTTATGCACATTCAAAATATCTCAAAATGGACACCATCATTTCAATAACAAAAAAAAATCTTGCAGTCCTGTACATTTCCTCTGTACGAGGGAGTTACTAGACTTACTAGAAGGTCAACGCATAACCTCCCTGCAAGAAACAGGTTCAACATGAGCTCAGCAAAGAGTTCCAAACTAGCAGACAGCTTCCAGCTATGGCTGAGAAAACAGTCAGAAGGGTGATGAGCAAGGTATGTTCAGTTTGTCCAACAGGCACTTGAAAAACAAGGAGATTCTCCTACATAACATACGACAAAAATTCTTAATAACAATACCAACATAATGTTCTAAGAAATCAGTATCGCCAGAAAAACACTAGCCTGGGAAAAACAGCCGACATTTCGCGACGTCACCCCTGGTTTCCCCGCGGAATGACGTCTGAGAAACGAGCAAAGAAAGTCCACACTGATAACGCGTCAGTGCTTCTGATTGGTCGTGACACAACATCAGTACTGAATTTTATAAGATTTTGGCATAACAGTTGAACTTTGTTTCAAAGGGATAGATCAAATTTGGAAAGTTGAGGATAAATGTCGTCGGTCATGGATAAGAATGGTGTAGGTATGATAAAGTGTTGCGGAAAAGTTAAAGGGAAATTTTCTGAGCCTTCTCCCCGAACAGTTTCTTCCTTAACCACCAAGGTCTACTGTATTGCTAGACGTAATAATACATGGTAGTCTGAATCCCCTCTAAATTTCTTCAAGAATTTATAAAGTGCAAAAGAGTTTGAAATGTCAAAACGGCAATGGTGTCACTCTGTTGTGGCGGAAACGCCGATCTTGAAAAAAACCTTTTTTTGGAACCTTCCATCCAGATCTCACTAGTGGGCACGTTTGACTTTCCACTTTTAATCTATCTCATGTATCTTGCGTTCAAAGTGGAAGGGGATGGTCACCTTAACCCTTTCAGTCCCAAGAGTGACCAAAATCAGTTTTCTCCAAACAATATCAATACATCATCAAGAGAAAAGGTTGGGAGAATTAAGAAAATGATGAACAAAGGAGAAATGCTTTGATCTTTTATCAAGTTCTCTCAACTGATTCTATAAGGCAATTTATGGATACTAGTGCAGAGAATTTGTATTTGGATATTGGGGCTTAAAGGGTATGTTAAGCATTGCTGCATTCTTTTACTATAATGCCAAGAGAAAAAGTGTTTACTACCAGCGTGAAAGCAATGTTCGAATTGGAAATCAGGGAAAGTGTTTTGAGTCGCCTCCATAGTCTGTTTAAATTACAGGAACCAGGGCTAACATGTACATGTTTAAGCCGATTAGTCACTGAATGGGAAAGAATGGGCTTATCAAAATAATAATCCACATCCTCATGCGTACACACCTGTGCATCTCGCTTTAAATATGATAATAGTTATTGAAATAATGCTCATCATAATAAAAATTACCTCATTAACTTGAGTAAGTGTGATCCAGTCGCAGTATCTGGATGATTTTCTTGCACTACAAGGAGCCTTGATCATTTCTCTTGGACACCGTGTTGCAAAATTGTCCATTCCTTTAGTACAGAATGCAGAAATAAAATCACTGGAATTATAATGAAAGTAGTGAGGTCTCTTCAAAGTCGAAAGGTTAAGTTCCAACCCAGATTTGCGTTTACCCTTTAAGCCCAATATCCAAAATATAAAAATTCTCCAGGCTGTTCTCAGAATGCATTCTTCAGGCACACATTGTCCAGTCATAAGTTCTTCACTTCATAGAAAGCAACTTTTTAGATTCATTTTTATAATAATACACTTACCATGATTACATTTTCCAAGAATTGTTGGAGAGGACAGTGAAACAGGGACAAATTTTTCTTTTTTAGCAGCTTTGTGGTACCTCAGATGAATTGGTATGCTAATATTCACATAAATGGATCCCAGTCTGTGCACAAAAAGTGAAAACAATGATAACTATTGATGTCCTCTGTATATTTCTTATTCTCTGGATATTCTTATTCCAGCAAAAATACTTTTTTGTCTATTACTTCATTGTTTTATTATCTTTTAAAAATAGGGGGGGAACTGGCCCCCCAGCCCCTCCCTCTGAGGGGTTCTGCTTGTGTCTTTCACTGTGAGGAGCTTCTTTACATTTAGAATAAGACTATTCTACCCTAGATTCTTATTCAGCGGAGGCCCACCCCTTAACCTTTTATATACCATTTTTCACGATTTCGTATACCTTCCATTGACAAATGGTACTCCTTTCACATATCTTGCTTAGAACTTTGTATCCCTTTTAACTGCTGGAAACCTGCACTGTCATAAAATAAGAATCAGTCACAAATGTAGAACGCTTTCTCGACGGGTAAGGGGTTGGACCTCGGGGTGGAGCCTCCCCGTACAAATATTTGTTAAGTACCTCTCCGGGATTTCGAGCGGAGCCTCCCCGTATAGGCCATAATAGGGAGTACCCTCTCCCCTGGCATAGCAAGAAATAATCACATTCCCGGACAAAGAAACTTACATGCATGCATGTAGTTATTCCGCAGATCCAGGATTTACGGAGAAAACCATAGAAACTAAAATCTTTATTTAGGGCTCCGTAATATTAAATTAAAGTTTTAGGCTTAAACAGAGGTCAAAGAAAATTAAAACACTTTACAACTGCATCTGAGGTCAACTCCTAGCAGGAACACCTAAAGAACCATAAACCACAGGAGATGATTACTCAGGTGGCATATTTGCACGTTACAAACTGTGCAAAACGGTCGGTGTTGGTTTGTTTGGTTACAATGTTGGTATTCCTTCTAAGATTGTATGGGGATTCCCTAGGCTGGGACCTACTTAAAAAATAGGTCACGTTTCACATTACATCAAGAGCTTATGAGTTGTGTTTTGCCTGTCGGACGCTAATTTCTAACTGAATCGATCGTTGTTTCGGTCAGCATTTGTGAAATAACGTACACAGTCTCTCAAGAGACAATCCACGGATTCCAACAAATCTGTTGTCGGGGAGCCAACAACCACCACTACTATGAGGACAATGAATAAGAACCAAATCTTGCTCGGAATTAACGCGGCCATTGCGGCCATGCTTGATTCACACTGAAGTTACTTTTCAGCTCCATCGTACATGAAGGTGTTTTTTGCTGAGGGTATAATTCGGTGCCTCTTATATGACAACTTTCTGCGACCGCATGTACCACATGCTTGTTTGTAACGCATAGATGGGTTCTTTTTGTGCGCATATATATGCGCGTTTGTAAGAAAATGGTCATATACTTGGGAATAAAACGCAAGTATACGTGACAAAAAACGCACGTATATCGTGTAGCAGGAATGATTGCAAGTATACGTGGGAAAAAACCGCACGTATATCGTGTCATCATTTTGAAACAAATGGCCGACCATAGTACACAGTGGAACCTTGCTATTACACTGTACATCCACCATTAGGCCATGGAAAATTTGGTTACAAGTGTTTAAAACCAAATGTGTTCCTGCCAGGTTAGTGCTGAAACACTCAAAACCTGTTTTACTGGTCCCTCGCCAGAGCAAATCAGGTTATTGTCGGTTTTGTGTTGTTTATACAGCTATTTCGAGAAAGATTGTCGGAAAAAATGTGCACGCGACAATCCCGAAAGGTAATATGGGATATAATCAATACATTGTTCCTGACATTGTAGCTGTCGAACGTACTTTTTCTGCTTAACTTTAGCATTCGCAAACATTTGTCCATGGTTTCCCCTGCCATTCTTTCAAATTTCTATGAATTCTGCAACTAAGGAAATTCAAGAAATTAAAAATGCTGCCGCGGCGACTGAAAAGGTGACTGCTTCGCTTCGCAAAGAAAATGATCATTTGAAGGCTGAAGTCGACAAATTAGTATGTCGCAACATACGTCTTGAAGCTCAGTCAAGAAGAAGCAACTTCAGAGTTTACGGTGTCAGAGATTCTCCACATGAAACTCCAGCAGAAACCGAGCAAGTGTTGAGAAACGTCCTGTTAAAACAGCTTCAAATAGCTGAAGAAGACGTAAACAATATGAGCTTCGAAAGAGTTCATCGAATTTCTAACACCCGAGCTGTTAATCAAATCAACAAATCTAAGAGTCCGCGCCCAATAATCGCCAAAGCCAGCTTTTATCAAGACAAGGAGCAAATTTTTTCATACGCTAGAAGCTTACCAAAAGGCTCAAAGATCGGTGTTGCCAGTGACTTCCCAAAAGAAATTGCCGATATGCACAAGAAACTTTACCCAATCTTGAAAGCTGCTAAAGCCCAGAAGAAAAAAGCTTTCTTTAATGTCGACAAACTTATTATTGATGGGCAAGTTTATCGTGGAAAAGAAACTAAAGATCTTCCTCTGTACGGTAAAGTTATGGTACATGATTAGTCAGTTGTTGTAAATAATTGATTCCTTTCGCGCTCCCAAGAGTTGCTTCGCTCATAGCGCCTACTTATTTAGCATTAGACTGTTCATAGGGAACCCGTTTAGGTGTAAGAAGAGGTTTCCCTACTTTGAGCAATTTGTGCTCTAGTAACTGTGCGTTTTGTGTCTTAGCGTTTGTGTATAGCCGTTTTTATTTACATGTTTGGAATCTATTTTGATATACTTAGATTTATTTCCCTACACTTAGTCTTGTACTCCTTCAGCTTGCGTTAAGGCTGATTACTAATGTTTATTATTTAATTTACATTAAGTACACTTTCAATTCAAAATTGCTCACATTCGAAAAGTTTTTCAATATCTTCCTCAACGAAACCGATAGAATATTCTATGCTGCTAATTCACGGCTCCTCCGTTTAGACTCTCCTTTTGTTCTTTAAACGTAAGAGGTTTAAATCAAGCTAGAAAGAGACGGCGGGTGTTTAGATGGCTCCACAATCAAAAATTCGACGTTGTTTATTTACAAGAAACTTACTCTTCCAAAAGTGTCGAAGAAATATGGAAAGCAGAATGGGGAGGGAAAATTTATTATAGTCATGGAACAACACATTCAAAAGGTGTGATGATATTATTTAAACCGAGTCTGGATTTCGAAACAGAAAGCATCTTCGCTGATAAGAATGGACGATACTTGCTATTAAAAGCCAACGTGCTAGAATCTTCCTTCTTGTTTAGCAACATTTACGCGCCAAATGACTCTACCGCCCAGATAGCTTTCTTTCGCAATCTTGATAACATTCTCCTACCATTTGCAGATGCACAAATCATCTTGGGAGGTGACATGAATTGCCCATTAACACCTACAGATAAAATGGGTGGTGCTACTGTTCGGAAAAAACAAAAAGTCATTGACGAGATTGAAGGCTTAACCCGGCGTTTTAAACTTCATGACATTTGGAGAAATCAACATACCAACAAAACACAATTTACATGGCGTAACAATTCCTTGAAAGTGCAATGCCGCTTAGATTATTGGCTTGTGTCGAAAGAATTGTTGATGTCTGTCATTGATACTAACATCACCAACCCCACAATATCTGATCATAGCGCTATCACTTTCACTCTTCAATCGAAAGAATACGCTAAACGTGGACCTGGGTTTTGGAAAATTAATAACGCTTTGCTGAAAGATGCAAATTTCATTGACGAGCTCGTAAGCAAAATACCCGAATACAAAAACAAACACTGTTACCTTACTAATGAAGGCCTGTACTGGGACATGCTCAAGATGGAGATTAGAGGTTTCTGTGTACAATACTCAAAAAGGAAAAACAGAATAAAAAGAAATAAGGAACGAGACCTTCAGAAAGAAATTGATCAGCTAATGGCCTTGCTGCAATCCAACAGCTCGAAAGAAAATATCACTAAACTCTACCAATTAAGAGTTCAACTCAATCAGATTGCTGAATATAAAACCGAGGGTGCAATGATTAGAAGTAGGATACGCTGGCACGAAAAAGGAGAAAAGAATACTAAATACTTCTTAAATCTTGAGAAAAGGAGGTTTGCAAAAACTCATATAACTAGGCTTAAAACAAATAGTGGCTCGGAAACTTCTTGCGAAAAAGAGATTTTGGAAATGCAGAGAGCATTTTATGAAAATTTATATACGAGCGCTCCCTGTGATATTATTGCACGCGATACTTTCCTGGGAGACCCTAACCTCGTCAAACTCGACGAAAACGAGCTAAATGAACTCGAACAGCCTTTGTCGAAAACCGAATGTTTCAACGTTCTTAAACAGTGTGCTAAAAACAAATGTCCGGGCAGCGACGGTCTCTCAGTTGAGTTCTATTTGCACTTCTGGCATCTACTTGGTGATGAGATGGTCCAAAGCTTTAACTATGCTCATAAAGTAGAACAACTCAACATAACACAAAGACAAGGTATAATAAAGGTCATACCGAAAAAACGCAAGAACAGGTTGTATTTGGAACATTGGAGACCGCTAACGTTACTTAACGTCGACTATAAAATAGCAACCAAATCTATAGCCCATAGAATCGCTAAAGTCCTCCCCAAATTAATAAACGACGACCAAACTGGCTATGTCAAGGGACGCTATATAGGACAGAACATTAGACTCATTAACGATATCATGAAGATAACTGAGCTAGAAAACATTCCCGGCATGGCGATTTTTGTGGACTTTAAAAAAGCTTTTGACACCGTCGACTGGAACTTCCTTTTTAAGACCTTGGAGGCATTAAATTTCGGCCCTCAGTTACTACAGTGGATCCGAACCTTTTACACTGACTGTTCTAGCTGTGTAGTAAATAATGGTTACGCCTCTGTCTTCTTTAAACTACAAAGAGATGTTCGCCAAGGGTGCCCTCTTTTCGGCTCCCTATTTGCGCTGTGCGCTGAAATTCTTGCTAATGCAATAAGGTCTAATGCAAATATTCAAGGAATCAACATATATAGAAAGGAATTCAAAATTTCACAATACGCAGATGATACCACTGTTTTTGTCTCTGATATAACATCTGCCCAAAACCTCTTCCAACTGCTCCACGCTTTTCAAATATGCTCTGGTCTTGAAGTAAACAGAAGAAAGACAGAGGGCTTGTGGCTAGGCGCGAACAAAAACAACCCGGAAGAACCTCTTGATATTGCATGGCCAAAAGACCCTGTATTTGCACTTGGTATTCACTTCTCTTATAATGACGAAGCTGCTTTCAAAAGGAACTTTGAACAGAAACTGTCCTCGATGGCTTCCTTGCTAAACTTGTGGTACCCTAGGAACTTAACTTTACATGGTCGAATTGTCATTTTAAAAGCATTAGCCCTCTCCAAACTTATTTATAACACTGCTGTCCTCACTGTCACCCCCGCATTTATTCAAAAAGTTAATAAAGCTATTACTCAATTCGTCTGGCAAAAGAAAAAACCAAAAATAAAACAAACTACCCTGATTGGCCCTAAAGAAAAAGGTGGTCTCTCATTGCCTGATTTTGACATAATTAACAATGCTCTCAAAGCAACTTGGATCAGAAGACTTGACAGCTGTCCAGTCCCACCGCGAGTTGGACTCACATTCCTGTTTCCCTGCTAGAGCGAGTTGGTGGTCTCTTTCTCCTTAAATGCAACTTTGAACTTAAACATCTTAACATACACATTCCATTGATCTTTTACGAGAAAGCCTTGTTGGCCTGGCAATCCATAAATTCGTTCACTCCCTCCTCAAAAGAAGAAATACTGAATGAAATCCTATGGAACAACCGCTTTATTAGGATCAACAATTATTCAGTATACTACAAAGCATGGCATGTAGCGGGTGTTGAAAAAATTGGAGATCTCTTCAACGACAATACCTTTCTATCTCGCCAAGACTTCTGCTCATATTTTGGTCTTAAAACTAATTTTCTTACCTACTACGGTTTATGCAAAGCAATTCCTCCTAACTGGATTAAAATAATGAAAGGTAAATTACAACCGCCTTCGAATAAATCCATAAGTATGGATAGAATTCCCGTTGAGAAGCTTTCTTCTAAACTTGCTACCAACTTTTTTGTTGAAAGGAAATTTGTTCCTGCCACCGCCAAAAAAAGACTCAGAAAAGCTAGTTTAAATGAACAGCAAATTTCTCAAATTTACAAGATGCCTTTCAGTGCTACGAAAGACATACAACTCTCAATGTTTCAGTTCAAGATCTTACACCACATCTTACCCACCAACGCTACATTATATAAATTCGGAATTAAGGAACATGACCGCTGTCATTTATGCGCTGAAAAGCAAACAATCACACACCTATTTGTGACTTACCCCAATGCTCAGCTGTTTTGGACACATTTTTCAGTTTGGTGGCGCGAAAAAAACAACATTAAGCCATCTCGCTTTCTGAAGCACAAAAACTTTATGGCATTACAGACACCGTGCCTCAGTGTCTTGGTTTAAACCTCTGCTTGATAATTGCAAAATACTATATTTACACCGCGTCTAAAAATGAGGAAGATTATTTTTTCGACGCTTTTTTGTCTATCCTTAAAAATAAAATACAAATTGAAACTAGCAAAGCTAAGGTGCAAGTCAAGCTGTAAAAATAATTTTCTTGATTCTGGCTAATTTCCCTTGTTTTTTGGCTTTTTTGTTTTGTTTGTTTGTTTGTTATTTATTTATTTATTTTTGTCGTTTTTAGCGTATTTACTCTTCGTTAATAGATAGTAAGTTAGTAATTAGTTGTATTAGAATTCTTTTTTCACTATTTTGTAACAGACTCCAACTCATCGGCTCCTGTTTTATAAGCATTATCTTGTAAGTTTATATTATGTAAGTAAGTAGCATTTAACTTAGCAAGTTACATGTAAGTAGGTATTAAAGCTTTATGTAACTAAGTAAGTACTATGTAAGTAAGTCAGCATTATGTTTGTAAAAACAATATAAAAAATAAAAAATAATTAAAAAAAAAAGCAGTAAACTCAAAACCACCCACAATACCTTTCGGGATTGTCGCGTGCAGTTCATCCGACAACCTTCCTCGAAATAGCTGTATACCGGATGTTGGAGCTGTGGTGGGAACATAGTAACGTAAAAAAAAAAAATAACTTAGTTGAATAATATTAAGGCTACGTTCACGCGGCACAGGACGAATTTTCGACCGGTTGAAAGTTCGTGCGTTTAGATGTTCTGTTCACACGGGATCACCTTAACCGAACGAAAATTTAGACGCCTAGCCGTTTAAAGTTCCCTGTGAACAGAGTGAAAATATTAAACGGTCCCGGGTGAACGAAGTGCATGGTCAAATTTTGCCGCCGGTGGAAAGATTTGTCCGGTGCCTTGTCTACGTAGCCTGAGAGTGCCGATTTAACAGATAAGTTTTTTCGCGAGTTTTTTGCACTTTTCTTGTTGCCTTGGTGAAGAGAGAGACCACAGATTGCCATATTTTGGCTGGAATCATCGACGAGATTGAAATGGCTGGATACGGTTTTAAATACTTCTTTGTCATTTGTTTCAACATCTCCAATTTGTTTGCGAAACGGTCTTAAATATGCAGAACTAGTCGTAACTTCACAGAAAGTTCACTCAATAGGTGTTATTTCTCTGTATATTTCTTTTTCTGCAAATCTACATTTCCGTGTAAGCTCTTGTCTCTCTTCTCTGTCTTCGCCAGCCTCGCATTAACTGCTGTCTTAAAAAATCAGGAAGAGAAACCGGGATTTTGAGTTAGCACTCGTCCAATTTCGAATTCGTCGCGGCCGCTGAATAGAAACACTGAAGACTCACTTATACAAGGTTAACCTCGACCAAAGGTAAATATATTTGCAAATCCCAGTCCGAAGAAGACCTGAGTACAATTGTGTCTGTTGGTTTAAACTCAAATTCGGGCACCTTCTTGCCGGTATTTTTGAATATTTTAATTAAGGTCGAGGCTAACCCTGTATAAATAAGTCTTCTGCGCTTGTATTCAGCGGCTACGACGAATTCGAAACTGGACTATTAAACTTGGGCATAAGCCTTGATTTTTCTCAGACTATATAAATATGTAATGTATTTTATCTACCACACCCAATCGGCTGGTGCCGAGAAATGGGTTTGACCGTATACTAAGTAAATTAGACGCCCCCTTCCCCCCTCTCTACCTGATTTTTTTACAGGGGAGGGGGAGGGGGCGTCTGCACACACGCTAAGTAAATTGGTGTCGCCGATGGGATTTCAAAATGTCTTCCCGGGAATAGGGCGCCCGTCGTGGGGACGTAAATGTCAACGATTTCTGTTCTTTCATCTTGTTTTAGTTGCAGTAAAGACCTACTGAATTGTGTTGTGGAAAAAAAAAATGATCTGGTGAGCAAATAAAAAGAATCATTTAGACTTACTCTTTGCATTTCATACAGAATTGACATGAGAACTATTGTTTATTTTGTAGGATCTACTCAAAGAATGCTTCGAGAATATCAAAGGAATTTCTGAGGATTCAGTTGTTGTTTGCTTACGTCACGTCCTGAGGTTTGTGGTTCCTCTTTTCTCAAACTTTATTAAGTCTACTTCTGTCGCAGGCTACCGCTACTTTTGGGATGTTCCTTGGAAAGCTAAAAAGCTAATTATATTTCATTGTTTCTGTGGGAGCGTAAGTACCGCATACCGAAAAATGTTTTACAGATAATGGTCTGTAAATCACCCTTTTCTGCGAGATGTTCATTAAAACAACAACAACAACATTTATTTTTAAGGAAATGCATTTATCCCTTTATGGATGCGAAAGTATGGTTAAAAAATTTTAAAATATCATGCAGGATTCTTGCAAGATACCTACAGACCTGGTTCCTACTTAAACTGAATCCAAAACTTGTTAACTTTCCTAGTCTGCACGTTGGCAGCATAAAATTTTAATCCATTTCCTATTAGAATAGAGTCCTCTTCGAAGGAAAACGACCTGGATGGACTACAAACCGAAGATGATGTTCATAAGATGCCTTTGGGCAAGACAACTGCCAAGTATTTGTATCCTGAAATTTGCAGCATACAGTAATTGAAATAAAGTGAACCAGTTTTTTTAGAAGCTAATGTCATTTTTTAGCACTATATGTATTGTCAAAATACAATTTGAAGTTGAAATTATATTTTCTATGTGGAGACTCTAATTTGCTTGTTCAGGTCTCTACTCCTTAACTGTTTGCAAGATCATCGATATTAAGTTACCCTGTAAACAACGTTTTCCTTCTCCCATGCTTAAAGCAGCTGTCCTTTGAAGACGCTGTTGTAAGTATTTTATCAATGTTAGTTTGTATCACCGACTTTTTTTAAAATTCTTTTGCATGTCATATCTTTTATTTGGTGCCTTAAACAGAAGGAGTCAGGGTGTGGTTCACTCCGCTCAAATGCGTCCAAAAACACCAAAATCGGTAGTTCCGTTTTATCACTTGCTAAGACCAGGCCTCAGTTGTTCAGATGTTGGTATATTGTATCGATATCCATCGTGTAAATTATTATCCCGCCGCAGCGGATACGCCGCGTCAAGGAAACTATTTGGGCTGTCCGGTGGATAGAGATTAATCCAGTGGATAGCGTTATCCAGCTTTTGAACACCTGGGCCAGTACAACAATGTTTTTCCATCTGTGGCAGAGACCTATATAACACCACTGGAAAGAACAACACGGACTTTTAAAATTTAATGAATATCACTGTAAGAATATAGTAATGAGCCATATGAAAGTCACTGCCCATTAACTTTTATTCGAATGCTCAGCCTTAAGGTGACTCGACCCAGTTATTTTGTGAGGGTACCATCCTACTTTGAAGCTCTCTGGTATCCCCCCTATACTTTGATCATAAGTCTAACATATAGCATGGATAACACATAGATCAATCTACAATGACCGCGTTTGGCTGACTTCCGAATGCTCACCGAGATATGATAATTTTGGTACGGTGAGACAGGCGATCGCGTGATACACAGAGGTTTAACTCACGATTTTTAATCAATTCTCGTGCTTCTTGTGTCTTTGCAAAAAAAATCAAGAAATGCTTCACACTAAATCTACTCGAATAGCATTCAACACCCCGGCCATTTTCTTTTAAGAGTTTTTAATTCTCGACATGATGTACACTCAGCTGGCCGGAGACGTTACGTGACAGGAATCCCTTCTATTTTCTCATACTAAATTATCATATCTCGGTGAGCATTCGGAAGTCAGCCAAGCGCGGTCATTGCACGCGTGCTGAACAAGAATGCTGTATAATGACAGACTAAAAACAATAGAAAAGTCCCAAAGCACAAACTCAGCCAAAACGCTAAAAATCTTCAATGTTTACTCAAGTTTGGGCTTACAAAAGATAATGTCACAGTTTTTCAATGACCATGAAATTCAAAATCCGGGCAGTTAGTTAATCAGTTGTGGCCCTGAAAAACTTTGAGGGAAAAAAACTACGAGTTTTTAAGAAAATGCTTTTTCGTGAGAAGCACTCTTAAACGCTGACAAACGTCAACAAATAGCTAACGCGTGCATTTATAAGGCACTAAAGCTTTTCGCTGACTTGCAATGACCCATCTGTTATAAAGATCCCCAAAATAAAGGGATAAATGTCATAGTTTATCAGATATAATCGTGTAAAGTTTGCTTATCATTTTCACATAAATTATGACCTAAATTTGGAAACCGCTGAATTTCTCGCATTGGGTCTTTGCGATTTTGGTGAAACTCTGGTCAACGCAAGGCACTAATGCGAATTATATGTAGCCGAGAGATTTTCACGAAAAAATGCCGGCAACAGCAGAATTTCCACTAAGACCCCAAAGAGGCGTGGCACTGTAACCACTACACATTTACTCCGATCGCCCAACATTTTATGCTATATTGTAGATTGATCTACATGTTATCATGCTATATGTTAGACTTACGATCAAAGTAAAGGTGGGGATGCCAGAGAACTTCAAAGTAGGATGGTATCCTCACAAAATAACTGGGTCGAGTCACCTTAAGCATTTCATTCTCAAACTCAAAGTAATCCTATTTGTTCCCGAATATAAACAGTGTCAGTCACAGGAAAGTACTGTACAGCCCCCGAAATGATCCCGACTGTCATTTAATTAGTTTCTTACACGGCGGCTTGAAGATATGAATTTTATTTTCTCGTGGCAAAAACATATTGTTTTGCCACTCGAAAATAAAATTCATATCTTCGCGCCACCGTGTAATATCCTCTATCTATTTACGCACGTAAAAATAACGCTACAGTGGAAATCCACCTTTATACGTAGACACGTAGCCTAGGTCACGGTGGCGGCGCTTAAAGGAGGAAGAAAAAGCGGGGGTAAAAGCGCGCGAGTGAAAAAAGAAGAGAACTGATTCCTTCCATCCTCCCTTCCATGTCTCCCTCTAACAGTTTTTGTTTGTTTGCTTGTTTTTATAGTGTGAAACAGCAGAGGGATTGGAGCTTACAAGAATCTCAGTCGTCGATGAATCGTTCAATGTAATTTACGACACACTTGTTAAACCTACCAGGCCAATAATAGACTACAAAACGAAGTAAGTTATCTCAAGCTCCTCGCGATTAATCCGGCTCGCTCAAATTACAGTTGACCAGTAGCTGAAAAGGGGCTACTTTTGAAGCTGTAGTGGCTCTTCAGTAGATATGAAGAGCAATGCAAGCCAAGACTTAGGTCTAAATATTGAGGGTTCAGCCTTGAAAACATATGTGTCTGCATATTTAGTGGCTTGTTTGACTTACTAAGGCGTGGTTGCCAACCAGGACCTGTTTTGTTGTTTGTCCTAAAGTGGGGCTGTATTCAGTAGTTTAGTCGAATACTTATTTATTTAGAAAGACCACTCCTTTTTACCAGATTTTAAGTTATGTGTCCGTAGAGAACGGCTGCCGAGGAAATAAGGCAGCGTCTGCAACACAAAGCCAGACAGTTTTTTTTTCTTAATCGTACTAGTGTTTTTTGTGACCTTGCCGGTATGGATGCACCTGCTAACATGTGAGAAGTGATCTGCAGTAAAAGTGCAAGTAAACTATAATGGAAATATTTCCGTAAAGTCCTGCGCCGGAAAAAAATCTTCTATAGATAATAGAGAGATTTAGAGTGACATTTCGACAAACGGCCAACGGCAGACTCAAGTTGAAAATTTCTCAAGATAGAATATGAGCAGATAAAAACCGTCTAAAACAATTCTTATGGATGAAAAAAACATGAAACTACTTATTTTTTTTTTGTAGAAGTAAGGAAAAGTTAAAGAGACAGTCACGTGGTACAAATTCACGTTTGCCGTGTCATACGCGACTCTAAATCTCCCCATTAACTATAGAAAATTTAGCCTGCGTGGCAGGCGCAAAAAGGGGAGGGGGAGGGGGGAGGGAGAAAGGGAAAAGGGAAGGGAGCGCCTGCTCTAAGAGCCTATGTTTTTGCATAACGCCTACCAATTTTCTAGTAATCCGATTACGCTTAGTGTCAATCAAGTGTCGCTACACTCGCCATTGCAGAAAAACATTACACTCACGGACCAAAGAAATTCACTTAGTTATTCAGATCCAGAAGGCACTTTGGAGAAAATTGGAATCCTTATTCAGCCGTAATTAAAAAAGCTTTACGCTTCAAAAGAGGTCAAAGAAATTGCGCTTGCATCAGAGGGCAAATCCTGCCGACCAGAAAACAATAACTACAGTCAATCGATATGTATGTCATGACCTCTCAGTGTGAAACATGCGGCTAAAATAACATTTTCTCAGTATAAATGCAGAACCTTCCAGAGCATAATCTACCCAGCAGATAAAGACAACTTTATTGGAATAAGCAGCATTTTGGCATAAGGTAAAACCACCCTCTTTTATTGCTAAGTTACATCGGCGAATGTCATCGTTCGATAAATTGGCTAAATCTTTCGCTGGGTAGCCCAACAATTCCATCTCCTGCAACTGGTCTTCGATAATACTTTTCAGTGGCGAAATGACGAGAATCGCGGCATTACCATTTAGCTCGTAGTTCTTCGCGCGTACAAACATTTGGTAAATTAATAGCCTGCGTGGCAGGCGTTTGAAAGGGAAGGGAAAGGGAGTTTTAGGTGCGAAAGAAGTGCGAGGGGCGCGCGAGGAGGGAGGGAGGGAAACGCCTGCCAGGAAACCATTGTTTTCGCCATCCCGCCTACTACTTATGTATGCAAAAATAATGCAACTGTGAATGACTTGCTGTGAAATAAGTCTGGCCGCGATGCGCTTATTTAAGTCGTATTTCGCGTACTGTTTTTCTTTTGTTTTCCTAAAACAAGAAATCTGAAGTAAAGGTACTATTAAAAAAAGTATAAAATTAATGCGGTCGTCCGTTGAAGGAAGAAAAGTCGCAACCATGCGTGGCTTGTTATATAAAATACAGCATAAATCTATTACGTTTTTGCTGAAGGTATCGAGTTGGACTTCCCAACTTGCATGCAATGTTTGTCGGAGAAAGTTTAATTTCTCCGACAAACAAAGTGGTTGTAATTAAAATTACAACCACTTTGACTCTCGAACTGGATCCAGCGGAGCATACAAAAGAACACTGGTAAAAGCGCTGAACTTCAAAGATCTACAATAAGGCTGGCGGCTTTATAACGTCTATAACCAGCAAGAAGAAGTCCTCAAACTGAAAATCGCTAACGATTATAGATCGCTTCGTCCTCAACAATCTGGTCGTTGGTAAAGCGTAGCCTGCGTGGTAGGCGTTTGAGGTCAAAGAGCAGATAACAAGCACACAGGCAGCATTTTTTCTTTCTTTCTTTCTTCTAGTGAGTAAAACAAGCCGTTGGGAGACAAGACTTCTCAAAACCAGTCAGCAAAACTCATCTAGCTGACAGGTCTTTTCCTTCATACGAGTCTTTTAACTGCTTTCTTCTATTCTCCTTTCAAGCTGAAATAGATGCCTTCAGTTTCTAATCGTTCTAAAACGATGAATTCCATACAGAAATCTCATCACGCCTCACTAACAACATATTTTTAAATGATTACTGAAAGATCGATTAAGTTACTCAGTAGCGTGATGTTGATTTCAGCCAATCGGATTAAGGTATTAAGGCTGTGATTGACATGTTTTGAAGACAGACCAATCAGGATTTTAACATTCGCCTGGTGGATGTTAAAAACGAGAAACACAATGGTCTCCTGGCAGGCGTTTCCCTCCCTCCCTCCTCGCGCGCCCCTCGCGTTTCTCTCCCGCCCAAAACTCCCTTTCCCTTCCCTTTCAAACGCCTGCCACGCAGGCTAGTAAATTAAACTCTTGCCGTATCCGGTCCGCAAAACCGCCAGAACATCTCTGTCGGCTAAAAGAGCCTTTACTGCTGATTCTTGCTCTGGTTTTAAAACAGTTTCTTTACCACTAGATAAATTCACATCTCTCAAAGCACTCTCTACGACGTGACATCCACGTCTACCGCTGCCATCTCGACTGTTTGTTGATTTGTGAAACGCGCATTTCAATATGTTACTCATTACGGCTCAGCCAATCAGGAATTTGCGGACGCCAGCGTCGCAGATATGAACAAAAGGGGGTTCTTAGAGCAGGCGTCCCCTCCCCCTCTCCCCAATCCCCCTCCCCTTTTTCCCTTCCTCCCTATCCCCTACCCGCTACCCCTTTCGACGCCTGCTACGCAGGCTATAGAAAATTACGCAAAAAGAGCAACAGCACAAAATCCATCAGTCTTACGGGAAATCCTCGAAGATCTTCAAGTTAAGGGTATAGATACTTACTTGCGTCTCCCCCTTTTTTTGTGAAGGTTTAGTGGCATAACAAAGAAGACACTTGAAAATGTTACTACAACATTGGATGATGTCCAAAAATGTTTAATCGATATTCTGCCGCATGATGCAATTTTGATCGGACATTCCTTGGAAAATGATCTGCGAGCCTTGAAGGTGAGTTTGTTTCACAGGTTAGTGTCAACTGTTGTCTGGCGTTTTGAAAGAAAATAAAAAACGTGACCATTATTCCACCAAGAAAGGTTTCTCTCTTTATCCATTCGTTTTGGATTCCTAAAACGCAACTTATGTAAGATGCGTCTAATTTCCCTAGTAACAAAATACCCTTGAAACCTTCAATCTTTAAGGTATTTTTATTTCATCTGTCAAGATATTCTCTGATTGTATACAAATCATTGTATTTCTCTAATGTTTACCTTATATTTATTTCTTTCTAGCTGCATCACAGACGTGTGATTGACACTTCAGTCTTATATGACAGTAGTAGTGGTCCTTTATTTAAATCTTCACTCAAATGTCTCACTAAACAGTTTTTGAAGTAAGTGTTCAATCGCGTGCGTACTTTCCACATTTTCGCAAGGGCATCTTAGTAATTCCCAGTTTGTTTAGTGACAATATTCATTTGTAATCTTTGACCTGCACTTCTGTGTTTCTTGCGATGTAATGGAAACTTTTTTCTATGTACAGTAAAAAGATTCAAAGTGGATCAGATGGCCATTGTTCAATCGAAGATGCTAAAGCTTGCATGGAGTTGGTTCAACTGAAAATTAAAAATGGTAAATTTGTTTACTTTATTTTCACAAGAGAACAGATTTCTGACTCCGCGCTGTGTGTTACAAGACTCAAAAATCCATCTTTTAGAGCAGGTGTAGTATTATACTACGCTAATTCCCAAACGTTGAAGTTCTCAATGGCCACCAGGAAGTGGAGTGGGTTTAGATCGCGAAAATTGATCGTGGTCCCGGAGCACGATCATTAAAAATGACCATTTTTCAGACAGAGTGGCCAAATTTATAGTCGAGGGGTGCAAAGCAATAAAACCGCTGCGAGCATGGGCGATCCCGAGGAAATGCGCAAGATGATACAGAATTCTTGCGACGAGCTAATTAATTATGCAGTAAGAATAGTGGCTCGAATGTGAGTAGTAGAAATGTAGAAGACTAATGCTTTAGTTTAGTTTTTTCATCAGTCGTCGAGTGGACATACCAGATTTGCTTGAGAGGCCTCGAGGGAAGTTACGCCTGACAAAGCGTTTCTTGTTTTCTTAATTCTACTATTTTTTCCTTGCCTTGTTAACGTTATTCCTTGTTTGTTTGTTTTTAGGTCCAAACTTTGGAAAACCGTCAATGAATAAAGAAGGGTATGCAAACTTAGTTCAAAATATTCACGTAAAGATAATTCCATCAGTTATTTGTTAAAAAAGGAGACCCGGCCCGTAAACACGTGCTTATGAAGCTCAATTCATGAGACAAAGCTCTTTGTTTTTTATAACAGGTTTTTTAAAAGACGATCACTCTCGGCATTAACATTTTGGATTTTTGGTGTAGGCTTTATCTTGCAATTGTTTTTCAGGAAAGCAAATCATATCTCAGACAAGGGTGGTTCATGTTAACAGTATCCTACAGGCTTGAAACAAAGCTGATCAGCTAATCGTCATAGAATGGGCTTTTTTGATCGCTTTTTTTATTCCTTTACTTTTATTTTTATCACTTGCCAAGCCCTTCTTTGGAGTAAAACCATTTTGGAGTTTTTACAAATAATAAATGTATGAAGACGGATCTGTTGCCAGTCACAGCGGGGGATGAAGAATACTGTCTCCCTCGCCTCAGGCGCCGCTACAGCGCAGAAAAAAATCGCATGTATAAAGGTTGCTTCAAGGGACTAGTAATTGGTGCATTGGCATCTCTTTCGTTTTCTTTAGACAGATGGTGAGAGTTAATACAAGAAATGATGAATACATAACTTAAGTCATCGTTTCTCTTATTCCGTGATATTTATCAACAGGTTATTTGAGAGGATCGCTCGCAAAGGAAGGATAGGTATATTAGACATTTTTCCTATAATTTATATTATTATCATTATTGTTACTATTATTGTTATTATACATTGTACTCACTAAACTGTCTTATTGGCTAAGATCCTACCGTTAATTTTGGTAATAAGCACAAAGTACAGATTAGTTTCGTGCGCGCGCAATGCACGATTTCCACCTGCAATTTCAAACTATGTTCCTTGGTGCGCTGTGTTTGTCGTTATTTTCTTCAGGACAATTTTGATTAGATTCGGCTTCTGTGAAATCCGGTATAATCAAGGACTCGGTAAGTGTTGTAAGTCTTTGGCCTCGGTTGACAAAACTTACCTCGATTTTGATTATTCTGAAAGAAAAAGCGCATTCAATAATTGTTAACTATGCTCAACTGAAATGGATCATCATCGTTCACGATGGACCAAACATCTTCATGCGCATCTAAACCTGAAACTGAAAATACGTGAACTTTTTCATTAGATATGATTATCCCTGGATTCTCTCTGGCGAAGGTGTAACGCTGGATACTTCAAGTTTAAAATCACTCTGACGGTGATCCGTTCACCTTACAGTTGACCTGCGTGGCAGCCGTTTCCGCGCGAGTTCGTCGAGTTGGAAAAAGAGCTGAATAGAATCCACCTTTTTAGCTCTCGGCTCTCACAGTTTTCTTGGTTTGACTGTAACTCAGTTGGTATACAGCAAATTACTTCTTCACCGAAGGCCGCACTCTTTATTTATTGCTTTTTGGTTGGTTGTTTCTTTGTTGTTTGGCGTTTGTAATGAAAAAACTATACAAGCAGAAACTCGCTGGCAGGAATCTCCCACCCACGGAGCTTATTTAGTTGTTTTTAGCAAGTGTTTAAGTGTTTTTGGATAAGCTTGTTGCACCAAACAAAGCGTTTACGTGGTAGAAGAATTAAGACTGATTACTCTCCCAAGAGAAGATCCCGAGATCTAATTTTTCAATCTATGCCCAGTGATTTGAGGCAAACCAACTCAACCGACGTCTCATAGCGACTGGAGACTGTCGTTGTGAGTCGTCGTGACCCACGATGACTCAAGATGATTGGAGACTAATCCTATTATCATGATCTTGTACTATTCGTAGGAGCCATGCTTGACTCCCCAGGAGTGTTAAGAAAATTTTGTAGTGGTGCAAGACACGCCGTTTCATGTACTTCAGATCACGAGGTAACGTCGCTGCTTAAAAATGTTATTTCTGACGAATGAGCCCGCGAAGAAGGCAGAAATAAATATTTTGACGGCACGAGATACAACAGGGCCTGGGTACTAGGCCGGGTGCACCATGGGTAGCCATATCGGGGGTATATAAGGCTGCGTATATCACGTGTTCGTCATCTAGGCTTACGAACCAACCTCTCCTTGGTTTTTCTTAACGTTCTTATCGGCTCTTTCTTGCGTTATATCCGTCAGCAAAGACGAAGTGTCGGATCTCATTGAGGAGAATAACAAACAGTTAATGGACTCGTTTAAAGTTTTGTTAACAGAAACCGTTGGTCAAATCAAGCGCGCTAATGAATATTTGGCCGAGCAGCAGATGAAGGAAATTAAGAAACTAAAGTATAACGAACCACGTAAGTTCAAGAAGAAGGCCAACGAAAACCAGTTTTAAAGGATCCACAGTGCAGAATTTTGCGGCCGTGTCGCGTATTAGGCCCGTAAGAAGAAGAAGACCACTCAAAAACAGATCCTCGCCAGTGGGAACGCCGGCGTCCACCTCAACTTCACATATGCAACCCCAGCCTCATGTCAAACGTTCCTGTTTTAATTTTCGCCTTCTCGACGACCCAGTGTCGGGACCTGTTTTGCCCGTGGAAAGCGTTCCTGTTACCCGACGATGGACGAGCCAAACATCCCAAACTCCCAAATGGCTAGATGAAGGACAACAATCAGGTGCAGTCTATTCTAATTTAGTACTGAATTTTTTAGGCGGCAAGCCGTAATATGGATCAGGATTGTCTCGCTATTATACCAGTTTCTTCTGACGTTCACCCCGCTAGTTTTAGGCGCGGTTTAGAGCTCTGAGTGTACCGTTGATATTTCTATTCTGCCTTCAGTTTGGGGAAGATTTTTCACAGTTATCTATTTCTGGCATACTTTGCTAGTTTCTCTGTTCATTTTGAATGTTTTTAGTCTTAGTTACAAATTCCCTTCTTCCAGCTTTTTATGTTTTTTTACAAATCCTACAATGCCTCTGCACGTGTTTACAGTTCTTTTTGTCCGTAGCTGTTAATGAGCTTCCCAGCCTCAACCTCCTTTTAAAAGTTTTTGCATTCCAATATCATTTACCCGCTTTCTGTTTGACGCGCCGCTCCGGCTAACAAAGGTTAATCCTGGATTTTAGGCACGTTTGCACTTTTTTCTTCAAACAGAAATTCAAGTGCGAAGACTTGTCCATGGCCACTTATATTTTTGATATGGGTTTTTATTTATTCATATTTTACCTCTAGTGCGGTTATCGTAATTTTCCCTGATCACCAGTATTTCCTTGCGTTCACCTGGGATCTCGGCACCTGGGTTTTTAGGTATTTTCTACTTTGCGCGCTTCCCTTTGGGTTCTTGTCAGCCTCCCTCAAACCGCTTCAGAAATCTAGAAGAAGCCAAGGTATCCCTATTGCCATTTTTCTTGACTATGGTCTAGCTATAGGAGGGGGAGCCTATCGCGTTCAGGCCTTAATTTACAGTTTGCGGGCTGTCCATGCCGATTTGCTTTAGTCTCGCTTTGTTCGAATTCCTATGAGGAAAAGTCCTGTGGGAGCCCGTTCGAATTTTCTAGTGGCTTCGCGTTCATCTCAACATAACACTCTAGATGGAAGTATTAGAGCCACGGATGAACGCATTGCTAGATTATCTCGCGACCTGGCGGCTTTGTCTTCATATTAGTCGTCCACCACAGTCCACGTTCTACGCGTCCCGTGTGTAGCCGCCCATAGTATTTCCCTCTCGAGTAGCGTGGGATCCGTCGCGTGCATTATGGCCCGATTTCTTTTCTCAGTTGTTTACTCAGCTGTTTCCTGGGATAGCTAGGTTTTCCTGTCCGTTGATTCTTTGTATGAAATTGAATTTTGGTCGAATTATGTTAGCCTCTCTACGGCAAAATTTATCGAGGGGTTCCAGTTCGCTTCCAGTGAGAGTAAGCTCCGGCTTCTCCGATGCTTCCGATTCAGCCTGCGGCGTTTAAGTGGAGTCTGACCCTGAGTTGATTTTTTATCGGAATTGGTCGGAAAGTGTTCGTAGATCGACTTGAAGAGAGCTCAAAGCGGTTTGTCTTGCCTTACTAGCCTTCGCGAGCCCTTCATCTAATTCCAAGGTTTTTTGGTATTCTGACAACCAGAACGTCGAATCCATTCTCCACGACGGCAGCAGGAAATGCGATCTCAAAGAATTTAGCTCTAGTTGCTTTTCAAATTTGCTCCCATCATTGTATTTCGTTCGAGGTCAAGTGGATCCCTAGGGACCTGAACGCTAGTGCGGTCTGTATCTGCAAGCTTGTTGACTTCGATGGTTACGGCCTCAACGATTTTGTTTTGCTAGGGCTAATTCACCTCTTAGGTCCTTACATTATTGACAGGTTCGTCTGTAGTTACAACGGCGAGTTGCCTTGGCTTAACTCTCTATTTTTTCAGCCAGGCTGTTAGGCTGTTTATGCCTTCGCTCAAAATTGGGGATAGGACAACAACTAGCTTGGCCCACCTGTTTGCCTCATTGTCAGAGTCATGTATATCAGACACATTGGGCTCTGCGCGCTCACGGGAGCCCTTATTCCTCACGTATGGAAGTCAGCTATTTTCTGAAATGTTTCTACTAGAGATGGAGTGCATTGGAATAGTTTTGTTGTGGACTGGGTTTTATTGCTTAAGTTCCAGGGATTATTTGTTCCAGGGAAGGTCCGTAATTCCCTTTTCAGAACCAGGCCTTTATTTTTTGGCGTCATAGCGCTTCGCGTTTATTTTCGGCGCCCCACACCTCCCTCGTCCCTGGCGGGCTTCTGCTCTACGCCGCCTGACGGAAAGTGTTGCCTGTGCCTCTACACGCGTGTTATGCGTACCTTTAGGTTTGGACTCATTAGGTTTTTGCATGTAGCCTTTTGACCCCCCCACTTCCCTTTTCCGGTGTTTTTTCTTTTTTATTGCGTGATCCTCACATTTTCTTTTGTATTTTCGATTACTTTTCAGATATATTCCGCTCTGGTTTCTAGCGCGGGCCCCAGAATTTCCCACCAGAGGGTTGAACCCTGAGGCTGACAGACAGTCTACAATGCAATCGACGGTTCTCTCCTCAAAGGCAGTTAGTACGACAGTGGTGTACCTTCGTGCTTCTCGCAAGTAAAAATGTTTTGCTGCCAGTAAGCTTCATTCCTGGGCCTGTCCTGCCAGTCCCTGCCATGTTGCCTTGTATTTGCAACACCTCATTGAAGAGTCGCACTCCCCGTGCGTCGTAGACTCGGATGTTTATGGTATTAAATGGGTTCATACCATGGCGGGTATCCCCTCTCCCAGGGATAACTCGATTATTGAAGGGGCTAGGTGTGTTTTCAAAACGATTTTAGGTTTGATGAGGTCTCCATAATTAGGGGGTATTATATTTTCTTTCATGAGGGTTTCATGATCATTAAGGTTCTCAAAAGCAAGAACGACCAACTTTGTAAGGACGATGACTCGAAGTGATTTTTTCGGAAATGTTTGGCCCTGCTTGTCCTGTCAAGCTTCTAAAGAGGTACCTTGCTCTTTTTTCCATCCCCTTTTGCTCCGGGGATCTCATTTTTGCCCCATGTTTCGCGGGAACAACTCTTTTTAGTTAGTTTCCCAGAACGAGCCTATCAGCTATACCACAATTAGAGAGGCTTTTCGCAAGGACCTGAGAATTGTCGGGGTTGACTCTTCCACTTTTGGTTTATATTCCTTGCGTTCGTGAGGGGCCACCTTCGCTGCTTATAATGGGGTTTGTGACAGTGTGTTTCAGTGGCTCGGCCGCTGAAAGTCCGTTCTAGCCAAGGACGCCTACCGATGATGACCTAGAAAAAAGGCTTTCAGTTTCCAAGTTTCTTGGGCTCTAGGAGCTTTCATTTGTCATTTCGCCCAAGACTTTGTCACTCTACGTACTTTGTAGGGTTGGTTCTCGCCAAGCCGTCTCAAAATAAACTTATTTGCCATTACGTTTTGTCTGTTGATGTTGTGTAGTGGAGTCAAAATATGTTATTTCTGACGAATGAGCCCGCGAAGAAGGCAGAAATAAATATTTTGACGGCACGAGATACAACAGGGCCTGGGTACTAGGCCGGGTGCACCATGGGTAGCCATATCGGGGGTATATAAGGCTGCGTATATCACGTGTTCGTCATCTAGGCTTACGAACCAACCTCTCCTTGGTTTTTCTTAAATTTTTGTTTTATTTATTTTTAGGAGCAACATATTCTCGATTACATTGTAAAGTCCCGTAGGAAGGGCTTTGAGCTTGAGCCTTGGTTCCTACCCAGATTTCCTGCCCGCATTTTTTCCCTTCGGGGTTTTTTTGGGCAGGTTTTTTCTGGCCTCCGTCTGACCGCATTTACTTCAGTTTGTAAGCGGTAGCTCAGCTCTGCTAGTTTTCAGCCTTTTTCCCGTTTCTTATTTTATGTACTTGTACACTAGTTATCTCAGTTTTGCACCTGCTCCTTCACTTGATATATTTAGTTTCCATGTATGCTTAGGCCAGCTGTCCCGGAACCGCTCTTTAGGAGGCGACGTAAGTCTCGTTTGACGCAGTTAGGTTGCAGGCAATGTTACAGACCTCTAGCCAGGGTCGTTATTCATTGTTTACCCTCAATGTCCCGCCCTAGCCTTTTATGGCAGTCTTACTGGTTATTGGGCTACGTGCCTTGTTGGGTACATTAGTGGAGATAATTCCCAGTTTTCCTGGCACTCAGCCTCTGTGCTCCTGAAGTGTTCCCGGTCCCAGTTATACGTTGATCACAGTTTTGTTATATTTCTCCGGTCTAACTGGCACTAAGCCTGTGTGCTTATTTGGGGGATTCAGGTCGAGATCGACCAGTTGTAGCAGTTTTTTCTTTTTGCTTAGCCTCTGTGCTCCTACCGTGTTCCTCGTGCCAGTTATGCGTTGTCAGTTTCTCCAGCCTAACTGGCACTAAGCCTGTGTGCTTATTTGGGGATTCAGGTCGAGATATTAGCAGTTTTTCTTTTTGCTTAGCCTCTGTGCTCCTACCGTGTTCCTCGTGCCAGTTATGCGTTGTCTGAGGTTTCTCCAGCCTAACTGGCAGCCTAACTGGCACTAAGCCTGTGTGCTTATTTGGGGGATTCAGGTCGAGATCGACCAGTTGTAGCAGTTTTTTCTTTTTGCTTAGCCTCTGTGCTCCTACCGTGTTCCTCGTGCCAGTTATGCGTTGTCTGAGTTTTATTAATTAGTTTCTCCAGCCTAACTGGCAGCCTAACTGGCACTAAGCCTGTGTGCTTATTTGGGGGATTCAGGTCGAGATCGACCAGTTGTAGCAGTTTTTTCTTTTTGCTTAGCCTCTGTGCTCCTACCGTGTTCCTTGTGCCAGTTATGCGTTGTCTGAGTTTTATTAATTAGTTTCCCCAGCCTAACTGGCACTAAGCCTGTGTGCTTATTTGGGGGATTCAGGTCGAGATCGACCAGTTGTGAGGAGTTTTTTCTTTTTGTTTAGCCTCTGTGCTACTACCGTGTTCCGTGTGCCAGTTATGCGTTGTCTGAGTTTTATTAATTAGTTTCCCCAGAATGACTGGCAGCCTACCTGGCACTAAGCCTGCCTGCTTAAATGGGAGATTCAGGTCAAGAGCGACCATTTGTCGCACGAGTTTTATCTTTTTGTGAAAGCTAGTTTACAAGTGTTGTACATTAGGTATTCACCAGTATTCACCTATTATTGTATTTACATAAATACTTTGTAGGGTTGGTTCTCGCCAAGCCGTCTCAAAATAAACTTATTTGCCATTACGTTTTGTCTGTTGATGTTGTGTAGTGGAGTCAAAATACTAAAGTCCTTTGGGTTAATCATTATATTTCAAAAGCACCAAAAATATTTGTCCTGGCATGCCACCTTTCATTGGCGGGGATGATGTCACTGAAAACATGCATGTTGACTCCAGACGTTTCTAGTGTAATTGGGTCAAATTAAAAACATATTTCCTTGTTTTACCACGTTAACACGTTTAAGGCATTCAGTCGACCACCCCTATAAGACAGACACCTTTGTAAAACGGACACCTATAAAGTTGGTCCCTGCCTTTCTTGACTCCTTTTATTTGACTCTCTATAAGACGGACACTTAGAGCTGGCCCCAAAAATGTCCGTCTTAAGAGAGAGTTGACTATATATATTTTTACAGTCAGTTTGTAATTAAAAATTGTTTCTCTACTTTTTTGGGGATCAGTCATAAACCCAGTCGGCTCTTTTAACTCGCCTTTTTCAGGAAAAGGAAGACTTCTGTAAAGCGGTTTCACCTGAAGTCACGTCAGCAATATTGCTGTACCAAAACTTTAAAACAGCTGCCATGTTGGGGTCTCAAACCAGTCCTCCTGTGGGAGTTGAACCTTTGTCTTATGTAAAAACCGTCTTTAATTTGTTCTGATAAATTTGCAAAGCTGCTGACCACGTGAATGAAAATGCTCTACAGTCAACTCCCGGTTACTCGAGCCTTAAAGAGAAATCGAATAAAGTTCCAGTTATCGAGGGTTCGAGTCATCGACAGGTTGGAAACCAAAAAAGGAGAATAAGCAAATGGGATGGAGAAGGCCAGTGTAACCAGCCGAAATGTCGATTTCGATTCATTTTATCTACTTTGTTTTGTTTTGTTTCAGTTTTATTAGAAGAAAATTGACCTTACCTGGGGAGTTTTTGAAACTTTTTCGTTTGGTGAAAAATAAAATTGGGTCTGAGCTTTAGCCACAGGAGGCTCTCACATCCAATAAGGTTATAATACCGTATTTCCTTTAATAAGCGCTCTCCCCCTAGGCCGAAATATCAAATAAGCTCCGCCTCGCCCCCTTTGTGTAATGGGCGTCAGTACGCTTGATAACCAATGCCCTCCTCGATTAAACGCACTCCTTTTTAAAAACTCCCATCCTATGCTCCGAAATTTTCAATGTGCGCGCGAGCGCTTATTCGAAGAAAAACGTTGTTAGAATAATGATCATTTACTTTAATATCGATAGTAGAAATTTGCTTTCTTTTACGGCCATTTTGAACTTTGCGGTCTGCTGGTGCGAGATCTGCAACCAAGAAATCTTCGGAGCCGCTCGTATCTCTTATAATATGTCGCTTCACACTCGGCAAGCGATTGGATCTTCCGAGACTTTTTCGACTGTCCCAGACCCCCGATATTTCATGGCTCCAGATCTCGCACCATCTGACCGAAAAATTCGAAATGGTCGCCAAAGAAAACAAAATCCACTCATCGATGAAGTAAGTAATCTTCATCTAAATGTTTTAAACCGATCGAATGTGAAAGCCCCTATGTGTTAGCATTTGTAGGCGCTTATTAGGCCACCAATGACCATTGTTCTTATTTCTAGGTGGTGTCCCAGGCGGTGGAGCTAGTCAAAACCGCAGATCTACTGTGGGCTCATTTACATCAACCTGAAATGTTCCTCAAAGGTCAGCGGCATTATAATTGCAGACGGAACCTTTATTACGTTCTTTAAAACGTATCAGACTGATTCGTGGCTTTAAGAACGAGTTATGCCATTCGCGTAGCGTGCTCGTTTCGGATCATTGCTTTAAGAACGAGTTATATTTTTTGTGTAGCGTGCTTGTTTTGACTCATCGCTTTTAATAAGAACGACTTATGTGTACCGACGTCCGTGCTTGTTTCGACTCATGGCTTTAAGAACGAGTTCTGTTGCCTGTTAGGCTTGCCATTTTCGACTTAGGGCTTAAAGAACGAGTTATGTTACACGTGCAGTGTGCTTGTTTTGACTCATGGCACGACTAGACTTCCTGAGATTCCATCGGAATCGATGTGTTTCCAATGGATCCGATGGACTCCGTCGGACGACTTTCCAACCCTCCTCTAAGTATTGTTTACACTTCCGGTTTCATCTCATGACTAAACTTCCGGTAACTCTAGTGGAATCTACTGAACTTCCGGTTTCATTTTTCGACTAGACTCCGTCGGACTCCAGGTTTTGTCCACTGGAATCTGGTCGAGAGTATTGGACATAGGTGACTTTTGTCTCTTATTTTCGCAGGGGAAACGTGTAACGATAAGGGAGAAGAAGATCAAAGATGGAAGGTAACTTATTGAAATAAGTCCTTGTTTAGTTTTATAGGCTAGGGGAAAAGAAATGTCTTTATAAAAATGACTGGACTGCTTGTCAAAAAGTGTTAAAGGATTTTTTGGTGGGGAGAGGGGGTGGGAGATGGTTTCCAGGTTATTTTATTTTTTTGAAATATCGACTTCAAGTGACGGCAGTGTCTTTAACAATTTTGTGTCTCCCTGTAGAGCTGTATTCGTAGGCTAATATAGGATATGCAGTTTGGAAACATTTACTTCAAACAGTTGTTAGAACTTTGGTCACGATTGTTCTGAGGTTCTTGACTTAAGCAAAGCACCTTGGGCGTCACATTTGTGAAGTTGTTTTGTTTTTATCAACAGGAAGTGCTAAAGTCGGTAGACTCTAAAATCCTACAAATTCACCAGGCCCTACCGAAAGACACTTTGTTTTTTGTGATGTTTGGTTGCGGGGATTTATCTCTCGTCACAAGGCAAGTTGTTATTTTATGCAATTTTAGATATCGTACATCCTACCTAGCTACTTTAAAATGGAATCTTGAGCCAGTTAGTTATTACAATGTTTAGACGCCGTTCAAGTTCTTTGGTCGCGCGATAATCCTGCTACCAGTTTAATTGTTTGATAGGCATTAGTCAGTTACTAAGTCCAGGAGTGTTTCACTAAGTTTCCCCGACAAAAATCACCTTTCTTAAACCCTGAGGGTTACTGGATAGCAGCAAGGTAACGATAAAGATCTTTATTTTACGTCGGAAATGAACCCGTAATACTGCACATTTGACTGACACAGATGAGGCAGACTTTGCGCTCGTTTTACCTCCTTCTCTCCATCAGTTCTCCTTTTTACTGGTGTTAAAAGCTACTTTTAAAAAGCTACAAGGAAAAGAGTAAAAGGCGAAACAAGGATTAAGGTCCCACCTGGAAATCGAACTCGAAATCTTCTGCACAGAAGGCCGCGCACGTTTGCTCCATTAACTAACAACCTACTCATGGCTTATAGGGCTTCATCTAACCTGCGTGCGCGACAGGCGCTTGGAAGTAATATAATAGGCGCAACGGACGGGGTGCGCCTCGTTCTATCTAGCATATAATTTCCACGCAGGCTATCTCGAGGGAGGAACGTGTCACGAAGGCCTTAAAGCGTTCACGTTGCGGACGAAAAACTGTTATCATCGTATAAATCTTTAATGTTGGTATCTCTTTTTTTAGACTTCAGAAGGATCGGAAGTCAAATAAAGCAGAATTAAAGAAAGCTGTGAAGATCGCAAAGAAAGGCTTGTGTTTTATTAAGATCACGTGATAGTTTCAACTTGACGTAATCATTTGACAGGAAAGAAACGAGAGTCGACTCAGCAACAATCAGTTCAAGTCCGTGGGGGATGTGAAAACCATGGATCAAGGTTGAAGTTTCACTGTTTTTTCCCCCTGAGATTTTTGTCCAAACCGTTTTTAAACGTCAGAGGTTCAAAATGAGAATTTTTCTAAACTTTTCATTCGTAGAATTTTAAGGAGGAGCACTGAGGTTTTCTTTAGATAAGTTTAGCCAAAGTCGTCGTTGAAATATATTCATCGTTAAATTTACAAGTTTAATTTACAAGTGTAGCTATTGCTTTAGAGTCTGGAAATAAAAGGAACACTTGTAAATATTTACTGATTAATTCAGTGATGCAGGATCGAATCCTTGGGAGATGCAAGATTTTTGTAATAGCCGTCACATAGCGTTCCTATGAATACCAGTTCATCGAAATGCATACATAAATTTTGGCAAATAAGAATTCCAGCAAATCATATGTAAATGAAAAAGGCAAGATCTCAAAGATCAAAATGACAACAGCCCAGCCATATATCAAGTGCTTATTGAGACTATAGCCGCGTACATTCTTGGACATAGGTGACGCACTTTGCCAAGCAACGTTCCCGTGACCACCCCCAATGTTTGCTCTTTTTCTGCGGGGTAGGCGTGCGCGAAATATGGGTGCGCGTCAAGTGATGCGCGAGGGAGATGAGAACGCGAAGAGAGAGGTAGCGTTCTTTCTCCTCGCACGAAGATAGCGCTGCCGTTCATATTTGCCTCTATATTTCACGTGCGCCTGTCACGAAGGCTAAAGAAACACTTTATACGCAGAAGGGAAGCACCGGATGGTTATTAAATAAACAGACACCAGTTTGTGTCGCCTTCAAATTAAATCAATCATTTATTTTTACACATTGCGTCCAGTACGAACGTGAATCAAGAAAATTTCTGATATTTACATCTTTTATCTATACATCTAAAGGTTATGTTAATTAAAGTAATTTATTTCCATTTGTCGCCTTCAAATTAAATCAATCATTTATTTTTACACATTGCCTCTAGTACGAACGTGAATAAAGAAAATTTCTGATATTTACATCTTCTATGCATCTAAAGGTTATGTTAATTAAAGTTATTTATTTACATCGCTCACAAGACGGATGTAGGGGGGAGAGGGGGAGGTGGCCAAACTGTTCCGTAGCTTTGATAACAAATCGGTGGGAGAATTCATTAAAAAGAGAAGTATCTCAAGCGCTGAGCACTGACATCTTAGCCCGTATAGGGCCTGTTATAATTTACAGCCCACACAGGATTTAAAGACATTTATTGGGCTTGGATTCTAACCTTTTTGAATCTATTATGTCGTGTACTGAGTTGATTTTTCGCTGTCTCAAAACAAGCAAAAATTGATCAAATATTACATGTAGGGCTGAACTTGAATCCTCCTCGTATTATTGATATTAACGAATTCTTCCTTGTATTAATAACAAAGAAAACTATTACATCCCGGACCGCGTAGGTTCAAGCGTTGCATTGTCAAACAAATACATATTTCAACACTCAAAGAAACCTGCTAGAATTTTTTAACAATTTTAAGAACGATATTTTTCCCTTACTTAAAAGATAAAACCAAGGTAACTGAAAGGAAAGAAAAGGATGATCGAAAGTTGCAGAATTTACCAAATCACAAGATTATTTTGTCCTCTTTGCGGTTTTAATAAAAATCAATGGACGAAGTTTGCATTATCACGATTATATTTTTGTACTGATTTATTACCATTTGAGTCTGATGTAACTTAATTGTTATCTCTTTGTTGCTTTATTGTTTCTTCTTGTTTTAATTTTAAAAACTTTAATTTGCAACTGTACTGTTAGAACTTATAGGCATGTAAATAAAGCTAATGTTGTTTTCGTTTTTGTTGTTGTAAAAGTTTAAACCAGTAACCAATTTCTCTGAACACGTAGAAACGGGATGTTACGGTATATAATTTCTATTTACAGTGTATATGGTATATCCGGCCAAATGCAAGTTCACGCAAATAAACCAACTTTTTCCTTGAAGTCTATAAAAGGTTCGTCCACGGAATGACTGAAACCTGTTCCCAGAAACCCTTGCACAGCGGGTTTTGAGCGAGTACTTGTTGAAGTTTTCCACAAGTGTCTAGGTGGCTCCGTCGTCTATTTGGACCAAAACTTTTTTGTTTTATGCAGTGCTCGTTGTCGTTTCGTGTTTTCCCGTCTCTTGATGATTGATTTTTGAAGTGTTCTTCTAGACAATGAGTGGTCACTTATTTGCCTTGGGGGAAGTAGATGGAGTTAGTACCCGAATGGCAGTGAAAATTGCCACCCACGAGGAAGGCGCGCGGCCAGTGGGGAAAGGTCGCCTTACTCGAGGGCTGTGTTTTTCATAAACGCCCGCTTAATTATTTTGTTTGCTCTACTATCCCTTGGGAAAATAAGGGACTGTACTCATGGTCTACCTCTCTTCACTGTAAATAAATCCGTAATCAATTCCCGCTGGTAAGTACGGCCAGAGCGACTTGATGGAGATGCAGGATCCTACAGCTTTCCTAGATTTCAGAAGTCCTTCTATATCGTTTGTTGGCTCCTGCAGTGAAAGAAAGCAACAGACCAGCTAATTTCTGTAATTTTTATCAAGTTAACTAATAACAAGAGAGGATAAAGGGGACAGAGAAAGCATCCCCCATACACACCCTATTCCATAGGTAATTAGTCTCGAGTTATTTTTAAGACCACAGTTCCCAAGGGGGATAAGACAACAGCTAATCACATAGCGCGAATGTGTTCCGCGTGGATGACCCACGCTCGGAGGCACGCGTCCTTCACGAATTGACGTAGAACAAAATGGCGGAAGACGCGGAGAACGATATTGCTATTCGTTTTGTCGACGAAAACGACTACAGAGAGATTTCTGCTAAGGCTGTGTCAGCGAAATGGAAATTAAAAAAGAATCGCCCTTCCTCTCTTGTATTGAGCTAACAGTACAGCAGGGAAATCCTTAACACACTAAATATTGTCTCAGGATCTTTTATAAATTACAGTTCGGAAGAGAGCAATTTCTGGTTTGATATTTATTCTTTTATTAGTCTTTTATTATTCAACAAAAACAACACTTGGCGTCCTACTTGCTTTATTGTACAAACGACCGGTTTCAAAAGACCGGCGAAATTTCTCATTTTATTAAAGCACTGAGGATACGACAACTTCGAGTTAAACTGATTTCAGGGGTTGTCAAAGAGTCCAGCGATTCCCTTTTCCCAGGTTAGCGCCTACTCATTTCGCTTCAATATTCAGAAATGCCCTCGATCTCCTTACGCTTTCATTGCCTTTCGCCCGACATGTTTTGCACGGCGTTTAGTCTTGCGAAACCTCCACGAAACATCCACGCAGCGCGCGAGGTAGCTTTATCTTGATTCTAAAAATAACTCGAGAGGAATTCCGTATGGAATAGGGTGTGTATGGGGGACGCCTTCTCTGTCCCCTTTATCCTCTCTTGCTAATAAGCGAGAAGACCAGCTATGACCAGGTGGGGAATTTTCCTGCGTAGGGAGGAGTGGGAGGGGGAGGGCTACTCTTATACAAGCTTTACAGGCCGGTGCACACTGGCGAAAAGGTAGCTACGCCTCCGGTATAGAAACAGATTTTCAGGTCTCAAATAAGGTAACACCAGGTAACTGTCTCAAGGGGGAAGGCTACTCTTATACAAGCTTTCCAGGCCGGTGCACACTTATACAAACAGGTCTCAAATAAGGTAACACCAGGGTCTGAATCTTATACGCTTTCCAGGCCGGTGCACACTGGGTGTACGGTATAGAAACAGCAGGTTACGCCTCCTGCTTGAATAAAACAGAGTTTCAAGTCTGAAATAGGGATAACAACAGCTAACTGTCTCAGGAAGTATCCAGGCCGGACACCCAAATAGTACGCTTACATCGCGCAGACGTAAAAAATGCTAATTGTTATAGAGGGAAATACAAAAAAAACTAACAATTATAAACTGTCGGTCTTTGCTCTGTTGTGTTAACCATAGATTCGTGGCATCAGAACTTTTCAAACTACGGATTGATCGATCTATTGATTGATCGATTGACTTATTTCTGGCCTGCAACTAAAAACTGACCTCATGTGTGTCTGACAGTTCAAATGAGGATGATCCTTTTATCCTGTGTTGGTTTCTTTTTACTCTGCACAACGTGTTTTTCAATCTGTCGTCCCTGCTTTAATTTACTCTTTTTCTGTCGTTGTAGAAATTTAAGTTCCGTTTCAAAACTCGAACTTCGCACGTGCTGAATTTAACGCTAATGAAAAAATCTATTTTTGATTTTTGTTTTTTTAAACTGAGCAACTCACCTTTCATTGGCCTAATTTCATTGTCACGTCATCCCCAATCAGCACGAATGGCGCCCAGTACTTCACGGCATTGAATTCTTGAATCTTCCGCATACAATCCATGGCATGATGAAGGGACTTACTTGCACTTTGCCCCGCTACCAAGTGTCGGTAAAAATGTCTCATAAACTCCAAAGTCTCTTCGTCGCTGAGCGCCCACAGTGACGCGATAACAGAACGTGCACCGGCTCCTAAAAAGGCACGTGCAATTCCAACCACGCCTTCGGCTTTGATCTCCCCTCGTGCACTGAAACAGCAGCTTAAGACAACAAGCTTGGCGCGCAATTGTACATCCAAAACATCTCTCATTGTCAAACGAAAGTCCTCCTCTTTCGGCTTTTTAGCACAAGCAAGATTAGGAGACAAAATAATTTCTCCGTTTTCTGCACAACCATGAGCTGCAATGTGTACTAAGGAAACTGAGTTGAGCCTACTCAAAACTTGTTCTTTTGTAGCGTTCCTACCAATGAGAGGTTCAATGTTAAGAATCTGTCCAATCATTTGTACCTCTTTCTCAGCACCCGGAAGCGGTTGGAATTTGGACCCTTTGATGCGTACAGTTTCCACCCACGGATTACCAACAAGCAGTGCACCAGATGTACTATGGCGGTCCTCCGGACACTCTGCCAGCAGCCTCAAGCTTCTTAGTGATGGAACCAATCGAATTCTCATCGTTTCAGACAAATACCTGGAATTCTGGTCCACAAGGGCAACATAAGGAATCAAGAATGATGAGCGGTCAGGGACAATGATGAGTTCGTCACCTTTTATCAAGTGTGAAAATGGAAAGATAACCACGTCATGCAATGTTTTAAGAGCAACACTCTCTCTCTCTCTCTCATCTTTTGGCTCATCCCGAGAGCGATCCTTGACACCAATCTTTTGGTACGTTTCCTGAATTAGTGATTTTAAGTCAACACTGATCTCCTTTTGGATAAAATGACACTGCTGTCCCTTAAGCAGTAACCACAAACTCACCAGTTTTTCATCTTCTGCTACAAAAATCGTAGGTGAAGAAACAAGTCCTGAAATTGTCATTATTTGTTCCATCTGCTGTTTTGACGACGGTGGAATTGATTCCCTGACGCAATATCGTGATTCCATGAGATCCATGAGAGCTTGTGCTCGTCCTGCCTCAGCGGTGAAAAGTGCCTCAAGGGTTCTACCTTGTTGTGATTGAATTCTCCTTAAAAGAGTATAACAGTTGTCACGTACATTCCGAAAACTGATTTTCCACTCGTCTTTCCCGGGCAGGAGATCCCTCATTTCCTCGACCAGTTTTATACAGGATTTAGCACACTCCTCGGCTTTAATGACGTCTCTACAACACAGAAAACTATTGGCAAGGTTGTTATATGCACATAGTTCAGAATTTTTGTTTCCAGTCTTTTCTGCGATACTTAGACTCAGCTTATAAAACTCGATTGCTGTCTGCAAATCACCGAGATCGTGATAGGCACCGCCAAGGCTGTTATATGCAGCTCCTTCAGAATTTTTGTTTCCAGTCTTTTCTAAGATACTTAGACTCAGCTGAAAACACTCGATTGCTTTCTGCAAATCACCGAGATCGCGGTAGGCACCGCCAAGGTTGTTATATGCAGTTCCTTCAGAATGTTTGTTTCCAGTCTTTTCTGCGATACTTAGACTCAGCTGAAAAAACTCGATTGCTTTCTGCAAATCACCGAGATGACGGTAGGCACCGCCAAGGCTTTTATATGCAGTTCCTTCAGAATTTTTGTTTCCAGTCTTTTCTGAGATACTTAGACACAGCTGAAAACACTCGATTGCTTTGTGCAAATCACCGAGATGACGGTAGGCACGGCCAAGGTTGTTATATGCTCTTCCTTCAGAATTTTTGTTTCCAGTCTTTTCTGCGATACTTAGACTCAGCTGAAAACATTCGATTGCTTTCTGCAAATCACCGAGATGACGGTAGGCACGGCCAAGGTTGTTATATGCTCTTCCTTCAGAATTTTTGTTTCCAGTCTTTTCTGCGATACTTAGACTCAGCTGAAAACACTCGATTGCTTTCTGCAAATCACCGAGATGACGGTAGGCATCGCCAAGGTTTTTATATGCAGTTCCTTCAGAATCTTTGTTTCCAGTCTTTTCTGCGATACTTAGACTCAGCTGAAAACACTCGATTGCTTTCTGCAAATCACCGAGATCGCGGTAGGTAGCGCCAAGGTTGTTATATGCTCTTCCTTCAGAATTTTTGTTTCCATTCTTTTCTGCGATACTTAGACTCAGCTGAAAACACTCGATTGCTTTCTGCAAATCACCGAGATGACGGTAGGCATCGCCAAGGTTTTTATATGCAGTTCCTTCAGAATTTTTGTTTCCAGTCTTTTCTGCGATACTTAGACTCAGCTGAAAACACTCGATTGCTTTCTGCAAATCACCGAGATGGCGGTAGGCACCGCCAAGGTTGTTATATGCAGTTCCTTCAGAATCTTTATTTCCGATCTCTCTGGCTTCCTTTAATGCCAACTCGAAGTTATATCGGGCTGTTTTATAATCACCGCCTTTTAAAGCTTTCATTCCAAGGTGATTATTGCACAAGCAATCCTTTACGCGGGAAGTGCTGTCGGGTTGCTCATGTTTACTTTTACCTCCACCGCATGACTAAAAACAGCAAAAATAAGAGTGTTTTATCCTATGTAAAATCAGTTATATCTCTGTCCTTTAAAAAGCTTTTAAAATAATAAATGTCCTTAACCTGAAAATCCTCCTGATATCTTTTTATACTTTTATTTTAATATTGATACTCCTGTAGGTTGTTTTGGAAAATGGCAATGTCTTCCTATGCAAAGACTAACCTAAACTCGAGCTACTAGCCTTGAAGAAATAAGAATGTCGTCCAAGATTTTACATGTAATACTTACGTTCACAACTAATCTACAGCTCTTCGAGAAAACAGTATAATTATTTGAGATAAAATTTCAGGAAAATACTATGTACGCTTTGGCCATTGTTGCCAACAAAATGGATTGAAGAAGAAGTGAAGAAATTAGCTTCATGAAATTTGTGATATCTGTTTTATTTGTTTTCCAAGGAGGTAAATTTTTAACTCAGTGGTTATCTGAGAAGGTAAGCATGAAATTCATGTTTCAAGTAATATATCAAACATGAGACGCAGTGTTTCATCACCAGATGAAACACCGAGAAGAGAGTTGAAAATACGACGCGTAGCGGAGTATTTTTGACGAACTTCGAGGTGTTTCATCTGGTGATGAAACACTGTGTCGAATGTTTGATATTTCTTCTCAAACAAAATCATTTTTCCAGGAGAAATTAAGGATGCAAAAATGAGCAGTTTTTCATCCGATATCCAAACACTCATTAAACATTAATTTCCTTTGAGTTTTCTTTATGAATTATTAATGAGTTTGAGAAAAAAGGCATTACACGTGCCGCCTAAGAAATAGGATTAAATACAAGAATGTATTTCGGTCTTGTTCCTTTGCTTTTTCCTTTTCGTCTTAGATTTCTCTTTGAATCAGTCATTTTCTAAACAATCTCTAACTCTTTGCAAAAATCAAATTATGAATGGTGTAATGAAAAACTGGTCTTCTTTTACTCAAATATTTAATTCTCATCGGCAAAAGCTTCTGTACTCTAAGGCATTGCATGGTGTTAAAATCCACGGTTTTAAGATTTTCTACCTGGCTAGCTCTTTAATTAGGAGAAGATAGAAGTAGAAAAATATATAGACATCAGAGAAGTGGTCTAAATTAATCAACTATAGCTAGTTACGTGCAAGGGTGTATGATTTGGTGTGTGTGTGTAAGTGTAAACGCTTGTTTACGGAGGATGTACAGGGACCGCGGAGCGTATTTTGGATTGGTGGGGCAGAACGAGCGTCGAAGGCGCGAGTATATCTAAGGGGGTCCGGGGTATGTTCCCCCGGAAAATTTTGAAATTTAGAGCCCCTAAAATCACCAGAAACGCGTATATCTACACAAAAACGTAAATTTAAACTTAATTAAAATATATGGCGTTCATTTAATGTGACAGAAGATTCAAATAATATTAAGGCCAATCCTTAAATTTATATTCTTTTACCATTTAAACTGGATTTCACCAAACAGAATTAACAAAATGTCGAGAAAAAGAAATAAGCCTTAAAGGTTTCGCGTTGGCCCTTGTCGGGTCCATCATATGTTAGTCCAGTTAGCTGACTATATGATGGAGGCTAATCAGCGTCAGTATATAAATGTTCCAAAGTTACGTTTGCAGTTATAATTTCGACTGACAAATTCTTTAGCCACATCAGCAAGTCACACAGTGTCAGTTTTTGTCTTATAAATAATTAAGATTACACCAATCTTAAATCTCTGCTGGGTCATCTTAGCTCGCAGTCAGGTTTTGACTCCGCGCGCCACAGAAAACTAAAATGATCTTTCGCCTGTTGCTGCAGCGCCCGGGGGGGGGGAAATCCGCATATGAAAGGGGTGGGGATGTTCGTCAGAAATTTTGATTTAAACCCCTAAAGGAGACCAATCTGGGCGTGGCCCAAACTTTTCTTGACCCCTAAAAGACACCATGTTAAGACACAGACAATATATATATTTTTATATTTTTTCGCGTGCAACCCTAAACGGGACCTTCACGGCTAAATATGATGGGGTTTTGCCCAGAACACCCTAAGCGAGACGACACCCCTAAGCGAGACGACGAGCATCACCACCCCTTTCATATGCGGAGTCACCCCCCCCCCGGGCTGCAGCGGCTGGATTGACGTGGAGAAGCTAGTTTGCAGATTTGTACAACCACAACAATCATGGCACGCTCAAGCAAGGCTCTGCTGCCTATTCACTTCATTTACTGTAAAATATCTGAAAAACTTTCGATTTGTTTGCCCTTCATCAGAACCTTGAATATCTCCAACTGGGGAAGAAGATAATAGTACTTGATGTCTTCTGCATGATTTTCTTTTATTAACTTAATTTGAAAAGAAAAATCGTCGTCATTAAGAAAGTTTTTACAAGAACACTTTCCAAGTTCTTATGCGCTTTAAAATTCGGCTGATCAAAACGTTCGTCAATAACAGAACCAACATTTCGTCGATCTACCCAGGATGCAACGGGGAGCGAAACTTTGGTCGCTTACATCTTATCGTCTAGACTTACATTAAAAAAAAATAGTTGAACGCTTACAGACATGTTGAATGATCGACACACTATGAGAATAGCGTTCAGAGTTAGAAATGGATCAGAGGAAATTGGACAGCAGTTCGCAAAGGATCATGGGGCGAATTATCAGGAAGCTCAGTTACAACGAAACCGTCGAACTAGACGGATCTCCGTAATGCACGCCTTTTTGCCGATTTTAGCCACAATTGAGCTAGAATTCCGAATATTTTCGCACAAAAAATGTTTGTCCTATCAAAGATGTTGTCAATTTCTCACGGCTAAGTGGTTGAGATGCCGTTAAAACATGTTATTTGTTAGCCGGCTTTTGGCTTGCAAACGAAGCGCGCTGTGTCAACTATGTGTAATTTGGGGTTAACAATGACAGAGACTTTCGCACCTTTTATGGTCTTTTTTATTGTTTAAGGTAAAGTGCCTCTATTATTCGAGAAACAAAGGTTGCGATTACCGATGCGTAGCCAGATCATCGACAGCGAAATTTAAATCTTCGTAAGCCACCGTAGCGTAACAAGTGCTGACTTAGGGGAGTAGGGTGTGAAGAAAATATACCGTAGAAATGATCTAGCAGGAGAGGGGTGAGGCTATTTTTTATAAAGACTCCTCCCGAAATCTCAGCGCTTCAAATGAGTAAACAAGTTTTAAGGCCCAAATAACTGACAAAGTGAAGACCTAAAAAGAACGTGCTAGATTTCCATGTTACAAGCTGAGGAAAGAGCCAGTGCAAAAGTTGAATACCGAAGTGAAAAGTTTAACATCACTATCAAAGAAAGCCGTATTAGACTGGGACTACGAAAAATTAACGTTAACTTCGGCGGGCCACTTAACAAAATCTGAACGTTAAAAAGCACGACCCCGCAGTGCACGTAGTTTCTACGTCGACTGCGTCGATGAAATAAAACTAAGCCAACCCACCCAGCTATTTTCCCTAAAGTGCTCAAATTAGCGCCTTTTCACGTTATTGTCTTATTAAACGCTTTGTCTTCAACCAGCGAGTCCCGCTCAGCTTTTAAACCAAGCAACAGCACGCGAAACATTTTTACAGATTAGTTTTGGTATGACCTTGAAACTACTTCTACAAAATTAGAATCAAACGAGCAAAAGCACGTATTTTTTACTTGAAGCCGTTGTAAATTTGCGCCCTGTCGAGCCAGCTTTGTCTCACGAAAAAGGTGCGACAATCAGTTTGGCTACCGACGCGTGCCATAGAGTGAAGTGATTTTAGACTTTATTCCGTGTGTCTTGTATTACATCAAGAAAAAACCCTCAATCGTATTTATATTAAGAGTCATCAGCAAATAACCAAGTTTAGGCAATCCATTCTCCACAGTGATTTCGGGGCACGCGAGAAAAAAATAATGGTATTACTCAGTTACGTTTCGGAAAACAATGAAGTCACAGAAAACAAGGATAAATGCGACAAAGTCAACCTTTTCACACCAATGCCGACTCTTATTTTAAAATTGTGATAACGATGAGATACTTGTTTATGAGTACCATATTACTGAATAAAGTCAGTGATAGACGCCGGTTTAACAAACTGAGAGATTTGAACTGTATACATATTGAAACGGTTCAGCTTTTAGACCCATAAACTGATAATTAACTACTATGTGAGTGTTTCATTCTCCTATTCTCTTAGCAGTAAAAAACTATGAATACTGTATATAGAATTATGAATTTTTCTCCCCTCCCCCTCCCCCAAAAAACAGAGTAATTCATTAACCCCCAATTACTAATGAGCAACCTCCCTCCCTGACTGGCCACCAGTTCAGAAGAACTAAAACAGAGAATGCCCAGAGGACGAAAAGAGGAAATACCGTTAATTAAAGTCTCTCGTCTCTATCTCGTGTCTGGTAATTTGATCCAAGTTTTCGGGTCCAGTACGTTTTGTATCAATATTCAAACCTCGTGCTGTGGGTGAAATTTTGGAACCTCTTTGTTGGATGATTAGTGTGTTAATTAACAATTATTATTCATTCAAAATATTTTCCCGATTCTGATTGGCTAAAAGCACACGTTTAATTCACCATAACCAGTTACTGATGACCAAATTTGGAAGAATTGTGTGTTTAACGAGGAAATGACGTCAGCGTTTTCGCAGGTTAAGGCACCGTTAACCGAGAAGACGTGGGGACGAGGTTGAGTTGTTTTGATTGTGAACTTGAAAAATGGCGGACATTTCACTCGTTTCAAGAGTAAGAACTAGGCGAAAAAATAGCTAGAAACATGCCAAGAACAGCAAGAAGACAACTCGAAGGACGACATCTGCTATTTAGAGAATATTTGCGGAGCTGGAAAAACCTGACCGTGCACTATCGAAAATGAACTTAACATCGATGGATCGATGGAGGTAAGCATGTTTTAGCCATGTTTTTAAACTAGGAATAATTTTGAATGAATAATAAAACAATTATTGAATTCGGCTTTCATATCGTATGAAGAATTATGGAGATCTTGGAGGGTGTTATCCGCCTCGGCCTATGACACCCTCCTCGATCTCCATAATTCTTCATAAGATACTCAGTCTCATTCATTAATTGTTAATTATCAAATGAGGCTGAATATGATTTGAAGGGTGTTAGCCGAGGAGGAGCGTCTTCAGTTGTCTCAGTTGCCTGTTTCTCGACACGTTCGGTATATAGAAGGATGTCTCGTTCTGCAGATCATGAGTTCTGCAGATATTCTCCATTCTTGCTATGATTTTAGGCAATAGTTCAGCTTTTTTTTTCTTTGCGAAACGTGAAAAATGTTCCGTCGTTTTGTAATTCTCCACCAAAACAACACAATCTCGATCAACGGCTTCCCGATTTGCAGTTTATTTACTGGCAATAAGGCTGTAGTACTTCTTCCAAATTTGGTCAACGCCAGCTGATTATGAAGAATAAGCCGCGGGATTTGAGCCAATCAGAAAAGAAGAAACTTTTTGAATAAACAATAATTGAATATAATGCCTCATTTTCCTGATTTTTGGGTTGATTGCTTAGCAACCATTTTATGAACTTAGTACAGGGTAATTTGAACGTAACACGAACTGTTAGTAAAATTGCTTTAAAGGCGGAGCCCTTAGTTGACGGATTGTGGTACCGATTGCATCTCGGCTTTTATTAGAGTCAGTTTGCAATATCAGTGCAGCATGAGAAGCTATTTTCATCGTTAAATCAAAGCGAAATGCTTATTATACAAACAAACCAAGATACCTCGTTGTCCATGTCTGTTGCCAGCTTTCTGAGCTCCATCAAACCGGTGTTTTCCGTTTCGATCTTTTGACATTGTTAAGGTATGAAGTTTCATTATAAATTAAGTACTTCTTATGTTTGTTCTAACTGAATATCAAGTAGTGGACCTGTTCAGTGAGTTCCTATGAATTAAAGTCAAGGCTGATCGGACAGCGTAGGATGGGCAATTTATTTTCCCAATATTTCCGTTCAACAAAACTAACCCTCATGAGGGGCTAAAAAGGCTAAGAAAGTTGTTCATCATGAGTAACTTGAAATTTTTTTCCCCAGGATCTGTGAGAAGAATGCTAATTTTAGACGCATTTCTAGCTGTTTCAAACCGCCTAAATATCATATTTCAGCTGACATTTTCTCTGGGAACATGGGCCTGCATGCACATCCGTCTCCTATATGATTCATCCCACGTCTTACTGTTAAGAAAGAACTGGATAGAGAGCAAACTTGGAAACGACGAGGGATCTATTGATTTACTGGGGGAGGGGGGAAATTGTGCGTACCTCCGGAACTTATTCTGGCTACGCCCCTTATAAAGAGGAGCTGGAGGTGTTACCATGTACAATCAGAATGTAATTAATTACAGGATCAGGTCTAACCTGTCTGATCCTGACTTTCACATTATGTGTTACTAACAAAAACCCAAAGTCAAGCCATTTCTTCTTTCTTCTCTCACTGAAATGGCCTCAACAGTATCCCAGCTTTCTTTAGTTTCCAAGGCATCAAATAAGTTTACTTATAGCTACAGTCTCTAATTCTCTCAATACTTTACTTTGAGAGCTCTTGTCGACGTATCAACGGCATTTGGCACCTTAGATAACGAGAAAGGATTTAACAAACACCATTCTGTTTATCAAGCTGAAAAGGGTATTCGAACTTAAACCTCTTCAGAAACAGAAAATTTAAAAAAACAAAGATTACAGCGATAACAAGCGTCAAATCTGGAAGAACTTGTGTACGTTTCGGGGCGCCTCAGGGCTCTATCTTCGGATCCCTGATATTCCTTTTATGTATCAATGACTTGCCATATTGTAACTAACTATCCCTTTCTAGAAATTTTGAACTCCAATGACACTAACCTTGCTTAGGCGTCTAGAAACCCTAAAGAGTTGTTCTCATCCCTTATTCATAACCTAAGCTAGCAATGTGAAACAATGGCTCAATTCACATCGGCACCCACGCCAAATAACGTAATAAGCAGTACCTTTTTTTTCATATTTAAGAGATCAACAATAAAGCTACAATAGCATTTGCGGCCCTAGCTTGGGGAACTGAAGCCAAAATGTCCTGAAAGAATTCTCGTAACAAGTTACAAATTGTTGATTCATGATCCCGCCTTATCCCGATATGATGTCTTATCCCGATTATTGCGGAGTTGCGTGTGGGGATATTGGTGCTGGACTTAGTCACAAACCTGAAAAATTGTAACAATTGCATTTATAATATGTGGATCCGAAATGTCAGATCTGCTCAGATTCTCCGCGACCTCGACTGGATAAGCCTCGTTCAAAGACGAGTCTAAACCACAGGATAAACAAGTACTCGAATCATCCTTGTGGAATTTGCAAACATGAATATCATTCGTAGACATAATCTTGATATTTCCATTCTATGCCAAGACTCTTTACGGAGAGTTTCCGATATCAGGGTGCTATCCCATGGAACAGTTTGTCAGCTGAGGCCTAGCAGGCCAATAGGCCAGTTAACAACTTTTATACTATTAAAAAAACTAGAAGTTTCAATTAGAGAGAACAACTGCAGAACTGCAGAAGTTGTTGTTGTTGTCGTTGTGTGTAAATTATGCTTACAATATGAGGAGTATTACCAATTTTACCTTTTAGGATACCAGTGGCAATTAATACTAGTTCACTCAATACGGTGTTGAAACCATTCATAAAACTCCCTGAGGCTAGAAATACGTGTATTGAAGAACTGGCAGAACCTCTCGTAGCTCAGGGATAGAAAGGTGGAAGAGAAATAGGGTAAATCGTGTAACTGGTGAGACTGGGTTTTAACACACTGAGGCTCTAATATTGGAAGCTGAGACATACTCCATGTCCTTTTGGTTGGAGAAAATTCGAACCTAATCCCCTGGATCTTCTTTCTCTCTTATAGGTTTCAAAGAGGGCTTGTAATCACATTTTATTTGCAATGTAATTTGTTTTTGCTTTGAACGCGAGACATGTTTCAAAGACGTTTTGTAATCGTACTCTATGTGGAACGTTAATCATAACATAGTAAGGAGTATAACAAGTAGCAAAGGTAAACTATCTTTTGATCATGATGCAGGCATGCAATGAACAAAAGGATACTGCTAATCCTCTATCACACCACATGATCGCCAGCTTAAACAGATTCAATCTTGTTAAAACTTTCGCTCCTGAATTAGTGAAAATAGTGTAAATCAGTAAACCTAGAATATTCAGCGACACAAGCCTGCTCCCTTTCTTCCATTCTATCGAAACAGCGCTTAGAGGGATCAGCAGAAATTATAACTGAAATGTTAAACATAGAAAACTTGATCATGACCGCCACTGTCATAATCAGCCAACATCGCAAAAGGACAATGAAGGGTGATTGCTGATTTCCAGTTGATCAAGTCAGTTCTGTTTTTGTAGTCTCGAGAGGCCTGTGATAGAAATGATGTGACTTTGTGAATTCAGTTATTGATCCCAATTCTAAGCTTCAATTTTATTCTTGCATAGTTTCCAAAAGTTTGAAAAAATTAAGGTAAATGATCAAAGAACGCCGGTTATGGTTTTGAGTTAGAATGTGGTTAAATTCAAACGCTTTCAGCACGTCATAAACTCTTTTTGCCTCTTAAGGACAAAGTACTAAATCTTTGGAATTACCTGCTATTATTGGTTTCACTGACAGTGGTCGCATGTCCATGGCTACTTTTGCGTCCTCCAGTGAATTAATGTAATTTCCTAGGAATGTTGAAAAACAAAAGCAAAAATGTCACACACAGCAAACGCAGCGAGCCAATCAGAATTCAAAGCACGTACGATAAACAAAAGGTGGCAAGTACAGGATGACCTTGTTAAAGCAAGTCCAAAACAGAATGTAGTGAATCAGGAGCCCATACGGATCATAGGTTCCTGAGTGAATTAATCAGATAATGCGTAATGCTTTCTATTAGTAAGACATTACATTTAAAAAAAAAACTTCAGGATGAAAAATCATTTACACTGGAAAAAGAAAACTTCTTTCGCGAGTAGTTCACTTAACTGCGTCAGCTAATGCATGCATGACAGGCATGCGATGGGGGAGGGGAAGGGCGGGAGAATAAAGGCGCGTGGCAACATGATGGAAGGGAACGCCCGCAAGAACGACCCGTTTGTTTGAACCTTTTTTATACTTAGATTCTGAAAGTTAAAACCGCAATTGTTCATTATTAAGTATATAATCTAGAGCCGTAGCTAGCGAGGGGGCAAGGGGGGGGGGGCAGCTCCCCCCGGACCTGTTAAGCCAGACACATCAAGTCTGTGGATGGAGCTATTTTCTTTAGACTCAGTTATTTTGGTTATATATCGTGACTTGAAAAAATTGTTTGCCATTTTCATATTCGAGGTCGATTTTTTGGAGACATATCTCATGACAAGTACTGAAAATTACGTTTCGGAGCCTTCAAATATGAAAATTTTCTGGGGGACGATACTCCCATACCCCAACACAAGCCTCGTGCCTTCTGTACTCGCGATAATGCCCCCCGTTACAAAAAACCTAGCCACGGCCCTGTAATCATGTGTCAATCACTGACATCTACTTCGATTGGACAGTTCCCAAATAGTTCCCTGACGAGATCAGCAATTCGGTAAAAATATATAGAATATTTGGTCATCATCACATTTTTAAAGAAATGCCTTTCTCTGCGGACTACGAAATTTCAAACAAACTTTTACTTATTCAAATCCAGTACCTCTGTCTTACCACTCGGCTACTCCGCCTTCCCATGACCCCCCCCCCCCCACCTTGCCACATCACTCTTTGCAAAAGTACAAATAGTCTCACCAATACGAAGGTTTGCATATGCTCTGTTGCTGTACAGCTTAGCCTTCAGGTCCTGGTCCTTGCAGTTTACTTTTATTCCCTCAGTATACAAGTAAATGGCGTTGCTGTAATCTTCCTTTAAGTACGCTTCATTACCTTCAGTCTTGTAAACTTCTGCCATAGCTGACAACGAAGCAGATTGAAATGTCGTTAAACCTGAGCGCTATTGCTTTGGGTGTTAATAGTTACCTTATGAATAGCGTAAACCATGACATTAGTTATAGAAATAGGATGTTCAATGAAATGAAATAAAAAATAGAAAAAGGAAGAGAATGAAAGTATGCGGTTCAGGACAGAATATGGCTGCTGATCTCCCATCTAGTTACCAACTCCTCCCGTCAGGGTTTAATTTGGGTAGCGCTGTCAATACCAAGGTTTGCAAAGTTTTGCTTGACACTTATTTCTAGAAAGCAAGATTATTTCCTACTAGGTTTTGTCAGTCTATTTTAATTCCATGAAGTGAAGATGGTCACTACGTAGCAACAGTGATATGTGACTAAATTTTCTGTTTAACATCCCAAAAAGGGAGTCGTACATGATTTGTATCCTTAGAAAATACTACACAAAAGGGACGTGAAAGCATTGAACTGAATAAGATGTGCGTTGAGATCTTTTTGGAGTCTCCTAGGAATATGTGAATCGTGCAGACAAAGAGCTAATTCTCTGCATATGTGAATCGCAAGATAAGCCTGCTCCTAGAATAATCTAATCCACTGTTTGTGGTTCTTACGCAATTACTTGCTAGTTCTGTGTAAATATTGCTTTTACAATTCCAGCCAATTTAATTAGCTTAAATTCTGTTGTAGCTGATGATACCCGTTTAAAATAGCGCATCCATTTATTTTATCTTTTCCAGTCACCGTGATGTTCTTGTCTATAGTTTTAATTTCATTCGTCCTTGCTATGTCAAAGCTCATTTTGGTGATCAACTAATAACAGTAGTGAATGTCTTTACCTTTCAATGTGTCGTCATCAAAGTCCAATGATTGCCCTGAACTAAGTGCCGCAACATCAGTCTCACTTGCTGCTCCGATTCCACTTTGCGTCATGTTTGCAATGATCTGGTGATAAACAAAAATGGAACAACGCTATCAATTAATGAAATTCTGTCGCCCTGTATTAGCATGGGTGACTATCGCTCAATATGCCATGTGTGATGCTTTCCACTCAATGATAACAAAATTCACACATAACACTACTTTTTGAACATTATCCAACAGAATACCTTCAGTTGCAGGCAGGAAGATCTTGAAACGTACTGAGATATTATTACATGATGCAGCAGTACATCAAACTATTTTCACAGTAAACCCAATGACAGGCAGTTACCCCGAAACACACAACCAGGGCGTAAGAAGCTAGGGCGTTGAAACGCTCATACGCGCTCTCTGGTTCAGCTGTGATGCGGAGTAGGACTGGAACTAGTTGGCCTTTCCGCTCTCGATCCGCTGTCAGGGCAAGAAAAATGGCGCGGTCTAGCTGGAGGTAGGTTCGGATTTATTGCTTTATATCTTTAGATCGCTGCAATCTATGATGAGATTTGATATTTGGCGTATTTCTATGCGATATACAGAAAATATTTAGGTGATATTTTATAGTTAGTCTTATAAGTTAAGGTGTTTTTTCGCCTTTTATGTTTATGTAGTATCAAAATTGCCTATCGAATATTACAGGTTGAAGGTCGCGTTTTATATTGCCAGTCAAAACCAAATGATAATAAACGGCTACAAAAAAAATATGTTATGGTTTTATAAATTTTGTTTGTGCATGCAAATTTTTAGAGTGAACTTTTATGAACCTTTAAGGTTTTTTTACTTCTGAAGTGACGACTTCATAATGGCGATAGCAAGGTTTTTGTTTTGTACGTTGGCGTTTAGCTTGTTAGTAAAATAAAAGATTTCAGTTGCCCAATTTAGCGATTTTTCTTTTTTTAATATACACTAAGAAGGTAAATAATATTCTTTTATTTACAGAACCGCGATCCAAGAAGGTTCTGACTATTTTTGAAGCTCTACTAGAAAATTGCATTCGAATGATCTCGTGTGACTGTCTTTACATAAACAACAACAAATTCTGCTTCACTGCGGTATAAATCTAAAGGTTGTATTGCACAGAAACAGTATGAAGCCTATGGAGAAATCTGCTTTCAAATCCCCACAAAGATTCCACTGTAAAATTAAATCATAGAATGTGTTTGTTATTATGGTTTTTTGCAGGACAACAGTGGGTGCCCGGCCTGAAAAGACTACTAGACCCGGCACACACTGAAAGATAAACGAGTTTATAATTCCGTGAATTTGAAGAAGAACATGAAGAGGTCTTAATTTGATTGCAAGTAGAATAAATTAAGACTGTGTAACATTTGTATTTTTGTCGTCAGAGGCTTAAGTGTGGTGTTGCACAAACTACCGTCAGCTCTCAGATGGAAACTATTGAGACTGGCACAAAATGTCTGTATTAATGGACAGGTGTAACTCTTATAGGGACCAACTTGATTTCCCGGAGGTGCCTTATCTTTTGATTGTACTACTGTATAATATTTCTAGCATTATATCCTCTCTCTTAATATTATATATTGTAGACAAGGAAACAGGAAAGTATTTTTTGAATCAAGTTTGATTAAGCCTGGCTGCAGATTTAACCAAGAATGCAATTGAATCATACTGGGCATGAAGTATACAAGTGTGCTAGGGTTGCTGGTCACACTAAAAAGTTTGTTTTTCAATGGTTTAATAGCTGTTACAGGCCATTTGTATTTCATTTGTGCATAATTCTGTATAATTTTCTTGTTTGCAATATACTTTTGAATTTGTATGTTAGAGAAGAATACTGATGTACACCAACAAATCCAAACTTTAATAGTGAAAACAGATCATCTGGCCTTGAAACTGGGCAGCAAAAAATAAATGCCATAGCAGATGATGAATTACACAACTTGATATTAAACTGAAGTAGAACCGATAATATTAGTCTAAAAATGATGTCAGAGCTATCATCTGAGTTGTGATGCATTTTCTTACCAAGTCAAGAAATTTTAATACAGGTCACGGAGGTGGAAAAATTGAACAAAACAGAAAACGAACGAGAGAAAAAATAATTTGTTCTTTCGCTATTGCTTGCAGCAAATGAATTCCACAGAATAATGGCTAACGTTCGCTGAATAATCTCTCTGACGGTCCAGTATAATGTCCGCCATCTTGTTTTGTCTCTTTGGTAGTACGCAGACCCTTGCATCACATATAGATCGCTGGACCCCGCTCGTTTCAACACCCTAGCTTCTTACTCCCTGCACAAAACCCTGTCAGTGTGAACCAGCAATAACAAACTAATCTTCCAAGTACAACTTCACCAGCTGACTCATATTCAGATTCAGGGTAATGATTTTTTTAATCCTCTTTTTTTCTGAGGTGTCATCAATAAACATTCTAAAAATAGTGACAAGGAATTACAACGCCGCGTCACTAATGCCTTTTTGCCGATTTTAGCTACAATTGAGCTAGAATTCCGAATATTTTCGCACAAAAAATGTTTATCCTATCAAAGATGTTATAAATTTCTCACGGCTAAGTGGTTGAGATGCCTTTAAAACATGTTATTTGTTAGCCGGCTTTTGGCTTGCAAACGAAGCGTGCTGTGTCAACTATGTGCAATTTTGGGTTAACAATGACGAGAGACTTTCGCGTCTTTTATGGTCTTTTTTATTGTTTAAGGTAAAGTGCCTCTATTATTCGAGAAACAAAGGTTGCGATTACCGATGCCTAGCCAGATCATCGACCGCGAAATTCAAATCTTCGTAAGCCACCGTAGCGTAACAAGTGCTGACTTAGGGGAGTAGGGTGTGAAGAAAATATACCGTAGAAATGATCTAACAGGAGAGGGGTGAGGCTATTTTTTATAAAGGCTCCTCCCGAAATCTCAGCGCTTCAAATGAGTAAACAAGTTTTAAGGCTCAAATAACTGACAAAGCTAAGACCTAAAAAGAACGTGCTAGATTTCCATGTTACAAGCTGAAGAAAGAGCCAGTGCAAAAGTTGAATACCGAAGTGAAAAGTTTAACATCACTATCAAAGAAAGCCGTATTAGACTAGGACCACGAAAAATTAACGTTAACCTCGACTCCCGCCGGTTAAAAAGCACTACTATACCCCGCAGTGCATGTAGTTTCTACATCGACTGCGTCGATGAAATAAAACTAAGCCAACCCACCCAGCTATTTTCCTTAAAGTGCTCAAATTAGCGCCTTTTCACTTTATTGTCTTACTAAACGCTTTGTTTTCAACCCGCGAGTCCCGCTCAGCTTTTAAACCAAGCAACAGCACGCGAAACATTTTTACAGATTAGTTCTTGGTATAACCTTGAAACTACTTCTACAAAATTAGAATCAAACGAGCAAAAGCACGTATTTTTTACTTGAAGCCGTTCTAAATTTGCGCCCTGTCGAGCCAGCTTTGTCTCACGAAAAAGGAGCCACAATCAGTTTGGCTACCGAAGCGTGCCATAGAGTGAAGTGATTTTGACTTTATTCCGTGTGTCTTATTATATCAAGAAAAAACCCTCAATCGTATTTAAGAGTCATCAGCAAATAACCAAGTTTAGGCAATCCATTCTCCACAGTGATTTCGGGGCACGCGAGAAAAAAATAATGGTATCACTCAGTTACGTTTCCGAAAACAACGAAGTCACTCAAACAAGGAAAGGTGCGATAGAGTCAACCTTTTCTCACCAATGGCGACTCTCATTTTAAAATTGTGATAACGATGAGATACTTGTTTATGAGTACCATATTACTGAATCAAGTCAGTAATAGACGCCGGTTTAACAAACTGAGAGATTTTAACTGTATACATATATATTGAAACGGTTCAGCTTTTCGACCCATAAACTGACAATTAACTACTATGCGAGTGTTTCATTCTCCTATTCTCTTAGCAGTAAAAAACTATGAATAGTGTATATAGAATTATGAATTTTCTCCCCTGCCCCTTCCCCCCCAAAAAACAAAGTAATTCATTAAACCCCAATTACTAATGAGCAACCTCCCTCCCTGACTGGCCACCAGTTCAGAAGAACTAAAACAGAAAATGCCCAGAGGGCTGAAAGAGGAAATACCGTTAATTAAAGTTTCTCGTCTCTATCTCGTGTCTGGTAATTTGATCCAAGTTTTCGGGTCCAGTACGTTTTGTATCAATATTCAAACCTCGTGCTGTGGGCGAAATTTTGGAACCTCTTTGTTGGATGATTAGTGTGTTAATTAACAATTATTAAATGAAGCTGAGTATGATTTGAAGGGGGTTAGCCGAGGCGGACCGTCTTCAGTTGTCTCAGTTGCCTGTTTCTCGACAAGTTCAGGATATAGAGGGATGTTCAGTTCTGCAGATCATGAATTCTGCAGATCTTCTCCATTCTTGCTATGATTTTAGGCAATAGTTCAGCTATTTTTTCTTTGCGAAACGTGAAAAAGTTTCCGTCGTTTTGTAATTCTCCACCAAAACAACACAATCTCGATCAAAGGCTTCCCGGTTTTCAGTCTATTTTCTGGCAATTAGGCTGTAGTACTTCTTCCAAATTTGGTCAACGCCAGCTGATTATGAAGAATAAGCCGCGGAATTTGAGCCAATCAGAAAAGAAGAAACTTTTTGAATAAACAATAATTGAATATAATGCCTGATTTTCATGGGTTGATTGCTTAGCAACCATTTTATGAACTTAGTACAGGGTAATTTAAACGTAACGCGAACTGTTAGTAAAATTGCTTTTAAAGGCGGAGCCCTTAGTTGACGGATTCTGGTACCGATGGAATCTCGGCTTTTATTGGAGTCAACTTGCAATATCAGTGCAGCATGAAAAGCTATTTTCATCGTTAAATCAAAGCGAAATGCTTATTATAGAAACAAACCCAGATACCTTGTTGTCCATGTCTGTTGCCAGCTTTCTGAGCTCCATCAAAGTGGTGTTTTCCGTTTCGATCTTTTGACATTGTTAAGGTATGAAGTTTCATTATAAATTAAGTACTTCTTATGTTTGTTCTAACTGAATATCAACTAGTGGACCTGTTCAGTGAGTTCCTATGAATTAAAGTCAAGGCTGATCGGACAGCGTAGGATGGGTAATTTATTTTCCCAATATTTCCGTTAAACAAAACTAACCCTCATGAGGGGCTAAAAAGGCTAAGTAAGTTTTTGATCATGAGTAACTTGAAATTTTCCCCAGTATCTGTAAGAAGAATGCTAATTTTAGACGCATTTCTAGCTGTTTCAAACCGCCTAAATATCATATTTCAGCTGACATTTTCCCTAGGAACATGGGCCTGCATGCACATCCGTCTCCTATATGATTCTCCCACGTCTTACTGTTAAGAAAGAACTGGATGGAGAGAAAACTTGGAAACGACGAGGGATCTATTGATTTACTGGGGGAGGGGGAAAATTGTGCGTACCTCCGGAACTTATTCTGGCTACGCCCCTTATAAAGAGAAGCTGGAGGTGTCACCATGTACAATCAGAATGTAATTAATTACAGGATCAGGTCTAACCTGTCTGATCCTGACTTTCACATTATGTGTTACTAACGAAAACCCAAAGTCAAGCCATTTCTCCTTTCTTCTGTCACTGAAATGGCCTCAACAGTATCCCAGCTTTCTTTAGTTTCCAAGGCATCAAATAAGTTTACTTATAGCTACAGTCTCTAATTCTCTCAATACTTTACTTTGAGAGCTCTTGTCGACATATCAACGGCATTTGGCACCTTAGATAACGAGAAAGGATTTAACAAACACCATTCTGTTTATCAAGCTGAAAAGGGTATTCGAACTTAAACCTCTTCAGAAACAGAAAATTTAATAAAACAAAGACTACAGCGATAACCAGCGTCAAATCTGGAAGAACTTGTGTACGTTTCGGGGCGCCTCAGGGCTCTATCTTCGGATCCCTGATATTCCTTTTATGTATCAATGACTTGCCATATTGTAACTAACTATCCCTTTCTAGAAATTTTGAACTCCAATGACACTAACCTTGCCTAGGTGTCTAGAAACCCTAAAGAGTTGTTCTCATCCCTAATTCATAACCTAAGCTAGCAATGTGAAACAATGGCTCAATTCACATCGGCGCTCACGCCAAATAACGTAGTAAGCAGTACCTTTTTTTTCATATTTAAGAGATCAACAATAAAGCTACAATAGCATTTGTCGCCCTAGCTTGGGGAACTGAAGCCAAAATGTCCTGAAAGAATTCTCGTAACAAGTTACAAATTGTTGATTCACGATCCCGCCTTATCCCGATACGATGTCTTATCCCGATTATTGTGGAGTTGCGTCTGGGGATTTTGGTGCTGGACTTAGTGAAAAACCTGAAAAATTGCAACTATTGCATTTATAATATGTGGATCCGGGTGAGATGTCAGATCTGCTCAGATTCTCTGCGACCTCGACTGGATAAGCCTCGTTCACAGACGAGTTTAAACCACAGGATAAACAAGCACTCGAATCATCCTTGTGGAATTTGCAAACTTGAATATCATTCGTAGACATAATCTTCGGGGCCCGCACCAAAAATATTTTCATTCTATGCCAAGACTCTTTACAGAGAGTTTCCGACCTCAGGGTGTTGTCTCATGGAGCAGTTTGTCAGCTGAGGCCTAGCAGGCCAATAGGCTAGTTAACAACTTTTATACTATTAAAAAAAAATTGAAGTTTCAATTACAGAGAACTGCAGAATTGAAACTCGCTGGAATTGCCCTAGACTTGCTACAAGTCGACCTCTTGGCGAGCGGAGCGAGCCTTGTTTGTCCGCGAAGTGACGAAGGACTTTTGGAAAGTCTAGAATCGCCCTGAAACGACCGAAGATGCTAACAACACACCACAAATAATACACTACCTTGAACGAGGCAAACTTTACTTTTTAGGATACCAGTGGCAATTAATCCTAGTTCACTCAATACGGTGTTGAAACCCGATTCATAAAACTCCCTGAGGATAGAAATACGTGTATTGAAGAACTGGCAGAACCTCGCGTAGCTCAGGGATAGAAAGGTGGAAGAGAAATAGGGTAAATCGTGTAACTGGTGAGACTGGGTTTTAAAACAGGGCTAATATTAGAAGCTGTGACATACTCCATGTCCTTTTGGTTGGAGTAAATTCGAACCTAGTCCCCTGGATCTTCTTTCTCTCTTATAGGTTTCAAAGAGGGCTTGTAATCACATTTTATTTGCAATGTAATTTGCTTTTGCTTTGAACGCGAGACATGTTTCAAAGACTTTTTGTAATCATACTCTATGTGGAGCTTTAATCATAACATAGTAAGGAGTATAGCAAGTAGCAAAGGTAAACTATCTTTTGATCATGATGCAGGAATGAAATGAACAAAAGGATACTGCTAATCCTCTATCACACCACGTGATCGCCAGCTTAAACAGATTCAATCTCGTTAAAGCTTTCGCTCCTGAATTAGTGAAAATAGTGTAAATCAGTAAACCTAGAATATTCAGCGACACAAGCCTGCTCCCTTTCTTCAATTCTATCGAAAAAGCGCTTGGCGGGATAAACAGAAAATTATAACTGAAATGTTAAACATAGAAAACTTGATCATGACCGCCACTGTCATAATCAGTCAACATCGCAAAAGGACAATGAAGGGTGATTGCTGATTTCCAGTTGATCAAGTCAGTTCTGTTTTCGTAGTCTCGAGAGTCCTGTGATAGAAATGATGTGACTTTGTGAATTCAGTTATTGATCCTAATTCTAAGCTTCAATTTCATTCTTGCATAGTTTCCAAAAGTTTGAAAAAATTAAGGTAAATAATCAAAGAAGGCCGGTTACGGTTTTGAGTTAGAATGTGGTTAAATTCAAACACTTTCAGCACGTCATAAACTCTGTTGATTCTTAAGGACAAAGTACTAAACTTTTGGAATTACCTGCTATTATTGGTTTCACTGACAGTGGTCGCATGTCCGTGGCTACTTTTGCGTCCTCCAGTGAATTAATGTAATTTCCTAGGAATGTTGAAAAACAAAAGCCAAAATGTCACACACAGCAAACGCAGCGAGCCAATCAGAATTCAAAGCACGTACGATAAACAAAAGGTGGCAAGTACAAGATGACCTTGTTAAAGCAAGTCCAAAACAGAATGTAGTGAATCAGGAGCCCATACGGGTCATAGGTTCCTGAGTGAATTAATAAAATAATGCGTAATGCTTTTTATTAGTGCGATATTACATTTTAAAAAAATTCAAGATGAAAAATCATTTACACTGGAAAAAGAAAACTTCTTTCGCGAGTAGTTCACTTAACTGTGTCAGCTAATGCATGCATGGCAGGCATGCGACGAGGGAGGGGAAGGGCGGGAGAATAAAGGAGCGTGGCAACATGATGGAAGGCAACGCCCGCAAGAACGTTATTGTTTGACCCGTTTGTCTGAACCTTTTTATGCTTAGATTCTGAAAGTTAAAACCACAATTGTTCATTATTAAGTATATAATCCAGAGCCGTAGCTAGCGAGGGGGCAAGGGGGAGGGCAGCTCCCCCCCGGACCTTTTGAGCCAGACACATCAAGTCTGTGGATGGATTTAGTTTCTTTAGACTCAGTTATTTTGGTTATAGTCTCACCAAAACGAAGGTTTGCATATGCTCTGTTGCTGTACAGCTTAGCCTTCAGATCCTGGTCCTTGCAGTTTACTTTTATTCCCTCAGTATAAAAGTAAATGGCGTTGCTGTAATCTTCCTTCAAGTACGCTTCATTACCTTTAGTCTTGTAAACTTCTGCTTTAGCTGACAACGAAGCAGATTGAAATGTCGTTAAACCTGAGCGCTATTTCTTTGGGTGTTAATAGTTACCTTATGAATAGCGTAAACCATGACATTAGTCATAGAAATAGGATGTTCAATGAAACGAAATAAAAAAAAAAAAAGAAGAAGGAAGAGAATGAAAGTGTTCAGGACAGAATATGGCTGCTGATCTCCCATCTAGTTACCAACCCCTCCCGTCAGGGTTTGATTTGGGTAGCGCTGTCAAATACCAAGGTTTGCAAAGTTTTGCTTGACACTTATTTCTAGAAAGCAAGGTTATTTCCTACTAGGTTTTGTCAGTGAAGATGGTCACTACGTAGTAACAGTGATATGAGACTAAATTTTCTGTTTAACACGCCAAAAGGGAGTCGTACATGATTTTGGTGATCAACTAATAACAGTAGTGAATGTCTTTACCTTTCAATGTGTCGTCATCAAAGTCCAATGATTGCCCTGAACTACGTGCCGCAACATCAGTCTCACTTGCTGCTCCGATTCCACTTTGCGTCATGTTTGCAATGATCTGGTGAAAAACCAAAATGGAGCAACGCTATCAATTAATGAAATTCAATCTCCCTGCATTAGCATGGGTGACTATCGCTCAATTTGCCATGCGTGGTGCTTTCCACTTAATGTTAAAAAAATTCACACATAACACCCTTTTCGAACATTATCCAACAGAATACTTCAGTTTCAGGCAGGAAGATCTTGAAACGCACTGAGATATTACTACATAATTCAGCAGTGCATGAAACTATTTTCACAGTAAACCCAATGACAGGCACACCACCCTGTGAGCCAGCAATAACAAACTAACCTTCCAACAACCACACCAGTTTACTCATATTCAGATTCAGGGCAATGATTTTTTTAATTCTTTTTTTTTTCTGAGTTGTCATCAATAAACATTCTAAAAATAGTGACCAGGAATTACACTGCCGCGCCACTAATGCGTGACAGTACCTCACCTCAGCCCTGAGGAACATATTGCATTATTTTCCTGTAAAAGAAACTCGCTTAGTTATTCGCAATAGCTGTCGTGATGACGTCTGCTTTCCACTGAAAGATATTCGGCAGCTACGTGAATAATAATCCAATAATAAACGAAGTACAAGTAAACGCATGCGCAATAAGTATAGAGTGGATAAGGTTGCCCAGCATTGTAACACAATAAAAAAGAAAAGCGGCAAATAAGACTATACCAAGTCAAAAATCGACCCAAATATTAAAAATACCGCATCTTACATGTTTAGCCGGATACCGCAAAATGACAAAATACCGCAAAATAGTCCACGTGAAAAATTATCAACACCGCAATACCGCAAACTTTCTCATTGTAATGGGTTAAAAAAATATAATATACCAAAAGTCTAAGATGGTGAATCCCCAAACCCCGGGTTACAAATGACCCACCATTTGAAGGGGAGGGTGGGCCAGTGATCACACCCTCTTCCAATGTCTGTATGCCCCTCTTTTCCCTCCCTTCTCAAAAGGGAAAAAAAAAAACAGATCGGGGCTTGTACCGTGAGCAAAAGCAAAAGTGCCTGACAGATACCCGGAGGAATTGTCACCCTTGTGGCTTTCATTTAGTTAAGACGAACAAAAACAGAACGGGGACAGCGAACAAATTATCTCTCTTCCCCCACCACACTTCCCCTCTTCTCTCTCTCTCTCTCCTCTCCCCTCTCTCTCTCTCTCCCTCTTTCTCTCTATACCGAGAGCCTGGAACAGGCCATCACGCTTGAAAACAACTGACTATATTTAGTTGTTTACAGGTGTTTTCACCGAAGTTGAGGGTATTTTGGTTTTGGCTTGCAGGATTCTTCGTTTTCGAGTTGAGGTTATTTCGGTTTTTTCGGTTTCGAGCTGAAGATGCTTGGTTCTTTTTAAATTCGAGATTGCGGCTTTTTTCTATTTTTAGGTCGCCCTGATATTGTATCGCTTTCTATAAACTGTAGTACGTCACAATCAATGGTTTTAGTTAGCTGAGAAATCTTTGATGGCTTTCGGTAAAACAAGTACTGTTTTTGTTCGAACGCGGAGCGCACGCGCGATAGCTGAAATTAAAACTACAATTAAACTAAGATTTAGATTTTTAGTGGGAAGCTTGTCCGTCTCGAGACTTGGAAAACCTTCCAAAAAACTGAATCCAAATTCACACATAACACTACTTTTCGAACATTATCCAACAGAATACTTTCAGTTTCAGGCAGGAAGATCTTGAAAAGCACTGAGGCATTATTATATAATGCAGCAGTACATCAAACTATTTTCACAGTAAACCCAATGACAGGCAGTTGCCACAAAACATACCACCCTGTGTACCAGCAATAACAAACTAATCTTCCAAATACAACTTCGCCAGCTGACTCATAGTCAGATTCAGGGAAATGATTTTTTTTAAAATTCTTTTTTTTTCTGAGGTGTCATCAATAAACATTCTAAAAATAGTGACAAGGAATTACACTGCCACGTGACAGCACCTCAGTTCAGCCCTGAGGAGCATATTGCATTATTTCCCTCTAAAAGAAACTCGCTTCGTTATTTGCAGTAGCTGTCGTGATGACGTGTGCTTCCACTGAAAGATATTCAGCAGCTATGTGAACAATAATCCAATAATAAACAAAGTAGAAGTATACGCATGCGCATGCGCAATAAGTATAGAGTGGATAAGGTTGCCCAGCACTGTAACACAAATAAAAAAGCATCTTACATGTTTAGCCGGTACCGCAAAATGACAAAATACCGCAAAATAGTCCACGTGAAAAATTATCAACACCGCAATACCGCAAACTTTCTCATTCTAATGGGTTAAAAATATAATATACCAAAAGTCTACGATGGTAAATCCCCAAACCCTTGGGTTACAAATGACCAACCAGTAGAAGGGGGTGGGGGGGGGAGCCAGTGATATGCCCCTCTTTTCCCTCCCTTCTCAAACGGGGAAAAAGACAGATCGGGGTTTGTACCGTGAGCAAAAGCAAAAGTGCCCGGAGGAATGGTCACCCTTGTGGCTTTCATTAGTCGAGACGAGCAAAAATAGAACGGGACAGCGAAGAAATTCTCTCTCTCTTCCCCCGCCCCACTTCCCCCTCTTCTTTCTCTCTCTGTCTGTACCGAGAGCCTGGAACAGCCCATCACGCTTGAAAACAACTGACTATATTTAGTTGTTTGCAGGTGTTTTCACCGAAGTTGAGGTTATTTCGGTTTTTTCGGTTTCGAGCTGAAGATGCTTGGTTCTTTTTAAATTCGAGATTGCTTCTTTTTGCTATTTTTAGGTCGTTTTGATATTGTATCGCTTTCTATAAACTGTAGTACGTCACAAGTAATGGTTTTAATTATCTAATTAAGAAATCTTTGATGGCTTTCGGTAAAACAAGTACTGTTTTTGTTCGAACGCGGAGCGCACGCGCGATAGCTGAAATTAAAACTACAATTAAACTAAGATTTAAAAAAAATTGAAATACAGTGAGAAAAAAGTTATCTTACACGGAATAAGCGAAGGTAGTATTTGCTGAACTGATTGTTGAGTGGGAAGCTGTCCGTCTTGAGACTTGGAAAATCCTTCTAAAAAACTGAATCCGAGTAAAATTCTGTGTTCAGGATTTATCCGACT